AAAAGCAAAAAAGTGCCCCCGCCAACTTTAATATCGGATAGCGTCTGAATGGCTTGCGCTAGAACCACCAAACTTGGTGAGTTTTCCTAAAATATAGTTGGCAACAATTTCGTATCAGTGTATTGGGATTTATGCAAAATAAATGCATACAGACGTGCTCTTAGAATGTATACCGAGGTGGAAGCTCAGTTTCCATTTTGATATTAATTTCAGAATCATTGCTGCCAGTCTAGCCTGTGTATACACAAGCTCTCGGCTGGAGGTTAATGACCCCCACCCCAAGAGCTTGTGGCAGAATAGCTGTAAGTCGGGCGGCCCGTTCCCTTTCCTGGAGTCACCAATAGGAAGCCAGTATTAGGAATTAATGTGGGAACCGACTGATTCTTTTCTCTCGGTGTGGCTGCCATTTCCCACGAGGAAGTTCCAGAAACTTTGGAAAATAGAAACAGATTCGACTCGCGAGCGGGTGGCCGTGCCTTCCTCGGCCAAACTTCAAGTTTGGGACATGAAAGGCGCGCCGACGTCCATCACTGGGTAGCGACCGACAGGCCCATAGCAACCATCTCTGTTGGGTGCCGCACCGTCTGAGGGCCGTTCGTGACGTTTGCATCTCATTAACCATATATGGCGGACCAGGGCCGTCGACAGTCCGCCAGCTTTACGCGTGCTTGACATCAAGCTTTTGGGGGGCGGCAACCTAGGGCGGCGGCCGCCAGGAGCGCGATTTAGTCAGGCTACTGCCAGTCCAAGGACCAAAAAAATTAATTGGTATTGTTTAATCATTATCATACGTAAGATCCGTAGAGAGGTTCACTTTAGGAGTCAGAAGTTCCTATAGGAACAAGACCCAAGGCACCCTCTCCACTTGCACCATTACAAGGACATCAGAAGAAGACTTAAGTCCAGAAGGAGTTTTATGGTCGTACAGAATTTGAACCCTAAGGACTGTGGAGAACTATAGACCCTCCTCCTCCAAACGAACCTCTACAGAGCCCATGTAAGTCCCTACCTCATGGCACTCATTTGCCTAGAAGGAAATGGGCCGCTCTGAACAGAGCTAGGTGTGAAGTAGGTAGGACCAGAGATAATCTGCTAAAATGGGGACGGGTGAGCTCAGCTGACTGCTCATGTGGCCACCCTACCCAAACCATGCAACACATTCTACAGGACTGCGAATTAGGATCATCTGTTACCAAACGAGACCTGTACGATGCAAACCAGGAAGCCCTGGACTGGCTGGAGCAGTGGGCCGACAAGATATGATGATGATGATGATGATCATACGTACCCTCTTCGCAGCAGTCCCCACGCCATCCATCCTTACAGCGACACGTATTTCCCACACAGGATCCATGCTGGCCGCAGTATTCACCATCAATGTAGCAGCAATCATCTGTAATATCAATTTAAAGTGTTCGTGACACCAAAATATGACCTTAGCTGATTGTAGTTGACAAAACTAGTATTACCTCGCTAACTACATGTAGACATACCAACAGATACGTGGGTACAACGAAATTGACCTACGTACAAGATAATAGTCTAAGATGAATCATCTCATACTATTTGTTCTAAGGTCTAAAAATTCTTTGATATATTCATTTGTACACAGTAAGGGTTATTAAACCCTTGTAAACCAGCACGGTAGCACAGTCCGTATTTGTAACAGCTTTTAATGGATTCCTTATTTTGAATTGTAAATTGGTTTTAATTCAGTGGCAATAATGGGATTTCCAATAAAGAGATCTTGTATCTTGTATTACCTTCTAGAATGAAATTAGATTTATCTATAGCATGAAATGTAACACATTCTGTTGAGAAAGCAGAGAGAAGGTTTATGGGTTTATTATCATATACTGGACAATCTATGATAAAAGTAACTACTGTTTATTTACTGGACATACCATAGGCGAATACACATGAGATTCAGCCATTCCACAATTCCTTACCTGACATGACTATGGAATCAGTACGGTTGCAGGTTTTTCAAACTATGTAAAGTCAATTTATAATCGAACAATCTATATATTTCTTGATGTTCTTCCGTACATATTTTATTATGCAAATTTTAAAAGTTGAAAGCTTGTAAATATATATGTCTGTAATGTTGAAAACTTGATACAACTCTTCATGTATATTGGTTTTTAATTCGGTCTCTGTAAACTGCGATAAACCAATAAAGTCGCATCGTATCGTATTCAAGAGCAGTATCGACATTCAAGAGCAGTATCGCGGAGTACATACGGAAGAAGATGACCATAGGAGCTACTAAGGGCTATCCGCCGTCTGGCTCCTGATTTGCAGAGACTACCAGGTAAATTCAGGTATCTTATCGTATTTTACCTTGTCGTTCTGTGCATATGTATTCCACCTTGAGATATTTTGTGATATCTGGACAGAGCTGATAGAGGTTGAAGAATGACGGCATCACGATGAACGAGCAGGATTGCTTGTTGTGACACATTTCCTTCACTTTCGGTTCCACGTGCCTGACAAGAAGAGATAAAAATATTAATTAAAACGAAATTGAATCAAAATAAAGACATCACATATATGTAAGAAACAGAGGCGAGCAGTAAAAACCCCACTGGTCCCGGGCCGGGGTTCGAACCCACGACCTCCCTGGCACCAGCGCTTCATAACCAGACGCTCTAACCACTCCACTAAAAGGTTTAGACCCGTTTGCCGGATCAGTTGGTAGCGCCTATAAAGCCCCACTGTTACATATACACAGTCACCATCACATATCACTGCATCAAAGTAAGAAACAAAACATTAAATCAGAGCCATTTCTTGTCTCCTCTCTTCATATTTATCTGCCATCCACCTTCCGGCATAGCAACAGACACCTTTGCCCATTTTCGGCATGTTGACCACTGTCTGAAGGCAACAAAATTTCTTGTTCTTTTTTCCCAAAATCAGGCGAAAATTAATGCGAGCGCTGTCATCCATGAAAATTACTTGCCGTGGCCTAAGTATTGAAGCCATTTGGTGCCACTAATGAGTTGATTTCATTGTTGTAAACAAGGTAAATGTACTTATAAAAGTACCTGCACATCTACAAATTACCTAGTACCCGCACTAACATCCAAATACATGTAATAGTATTTGCTATTAGCCCTCAACTAATTGCTATTAGCCCTGCTAATTTTTTTAAAACTTCCCTACCTTTCGCATGCTCTTGGGTGGTTGCTTACAGTGGATACGTCAGTGTTGCCATGGGGACAGTGAGTCGTGTCAGAGCGCTCTCGTCCATATATGGTATTGACGATTTTCAGTCTTTTTGGGGCAGGACAGGACAATTCCAGCGTAGCCTGATCACAGGTGTAGTATGTAATTTTTGCTGCAGAGGAAAACATATACAGGTTAAGTAATTAGTCCCCCATCATGAAAGTTCATCTGTGTTGGTAGTTACATGTTTAAAGTTAAACCTTTTGGTCCAACACAAAAAAACTCTCACCTAGAGCTTTCGACCAGTCACTCAGGTCCTCCTCAGTAGACTGACCCAGTGTTGACGTCACACTTCAAAGAAGCCACGTGACAAGCTTCACCGGGTCAGTCTACTGAGGGCAGACCAGAGGGACTGGTCGAAAGCTCTAGGTGAGAGAATTTTTTGTGTTGGACCAAAAGTAACTTTAAACATAATTAATCCCGATATTTTCACAATGCAACAATATTTTCCTACGTCTATGTATGGGTATAGACGGTACTGATAACGTATGGGTATATCAAGCTATTATACATTTCGGTAGTAATTGTCTGTTGGGAAAAATAAAACATGTTCTAACAAACAAATATAATGATACATAATGAGCTTAATAGCGTCAATAATTAATTAGTTGTTAAGAGACTTAGTTGTTAACTGAAATTGTGTAGAACTCATACAACTAATTGAGGATTTATCTAGCAATGCACGTTTTCTGTGTTATTTTTGGATCAGACAAACCATGTATTATGAGCTCCATACATGGATGTTCATGCACCTACAACTACAAGCGAGAAGAATTTGAAATAGGTAGATATAGTGAGATATCTCTGTTATTTAAACATAACCTGTACATTTGTACATAGATTGTAAAAGCATAAAAATATTAGTAAAATGTTCTTCAAATCTGACAATGAACAATTAAACTTGGTGAGCCAAACTGGATCAAAACAAAATTAAGCTTACGGTCTCCTGTGTCGTCTCCTCCTCCTCCTCCTCCTTCTTCACCAGTGGTTGAATCACCTATGCACCAAAAAAATCACAGCTTAGTTTTCTTTTACATGCATCGATCATGCAGTTGTCAACTCTCAGTGTGTCTAGATTAATGATATAGATCAGGTATTTTTAAATTGGTTCCTATTGATGTACATTGATTCTGCACATACACGTACAAATCTGATAGACACTCAGAGGATTACTGTGAAAAATTTCTTTGAGAATTATCATGAAAGTTCATCTGTGTTAGTATTTACATGTTTAAAGTTAAAACTTTAACTTGTCTGCCAATGTACAATTTGCCTCACTAACCAAGTATCACTGCACATGTGCTCATGCATCACTGTGCATGTGCTTATTATGTTTACCGAAAGAAAACATTATTTTGCTCAATTTCCTCTTCTCCAAACACAAAAGGTCAATGACCTGAACCAGTCTATCACGGTGGTAACTGATGTTGGGATACATCATGTTGCAATTTGATAGTAGGAGGGATTTAGACATTTTTCACCATATATATGAATGCGTTTGAGTAAGAATTAGCAGAGCAGACCATATGTGATGATAAACATTATGCATTTGTTTTGCAAATGTTACCTTTCTGGTTTTATTTTATGTCTGATAAATAACATACAATGTCCGTCACTAACTTGAAAGGGGAGCTTGTCTCTTCCCACGTAGGGGACTGTGGTCATCTGTCGCATGGGCATACACGTGGTACTTGTAGCCTGTGTTGGCGCCAAATGGGTCGTCCTGTTGTCCAAAAATGTTCTCGTGGTTGGACACATAAGCCTCGTGTGCGCCACGTGGATAGCGATTGACATAGCCGGCGTACCCGTCGTTAGAATAGCCCCGGTTCCAGGTGTCGGCACGTCGAGATTGGCCCCAATCATTGCGTTCTACTGTTTCCGCGAAATTCGCAGCCGGTTCACGCCGCTCCCGGCCCGCGTACTCGGACAGGATGGGTTGCTCGTAAGACTTGTGCTGGACGCTGCGTTTCACGACCTCGGGCTCTTCCCGGCGTTGCCTCTCGACGTTTTCGATCTTTGGCTCACTGAGGTCGACAGATTTGGACAGGACGTGCTGTTCTAGATCTTCGGCAGTGCGGCGATCTCGCTGCAGCGGCTCCGATAGGATCTGGACCTCGGGGTTTGGGCGGACCTCGCCTTCGTAGTCACGGCGATCGCGATGGATCTGTTCTGGTACAATCTCGGGATCTTGGCGGATTACGCGGTGGATCTGTTCTGGTACAATCTCGGGATCCTCGCGGATTACGCGGTGGACCTGTTCTGGTACGATCTCGGGATCTCGGTGGATCTCGTTGTCGTAATCACGGCGATCGCGGTGGATCTGTTCTGGTACGATCTCTGGATCTCGGTGGATCTCGTTGTCGTAGTTACGGCGATCGCGATGGACTGCTTTTGGTTCTACGATCGATTCTACGTGAGAGATTGGCGGAAGTTCGCGGGGGGCATCGTCTTCAAAAGCTCGACGGTCGCGATGAACAGCCATGGGCAGGAGTGGCTTGTCATCGTGAAATGCCGATTTGAGGCGAGCCGCCTGCTATAAAAACATACAGCAAAAATTCAACATAGCTGCCAAAATCTTCAGTACTAAGCCCACATCAATCTATTGTATTGTTTCTAAGATAAAAACAAATAATGGTGATCTTCAATATTAAACTGTACCTTCCATGCAATTTGTACATACAGTTTCAGAGAGTGAACATAGCCATATTAAAGTTTTCCTACTACTAGCTCTTTGTTTTCATGATAATGTCTTATTGCTAGAATTTTACTTGTGTAAGCACAAAAGCTGTGAATTGATATGGCAAGAGAGTGAGCCCTCATTTTACAAATGCGTGTGGTATGCACCTGATCATGATTATACAAGCGATCGCATTTTTTGTTTACATGCAAGCATACAATACCACACTTCACAGTGTTTCTTACAAGCACCATACCTTGTAACAGAAAAGTGGTTTAAACCATGAGTCTAAATTTAAAGTTAATGACTTTAGATAACGCATTTTAACATTCACAACCAATAGAGCGAATGGGGTTTTGGTTACTTGTTTCACGCTCGTTTCGAAGGTTTCTTGAAGAGGTGGCGTCCGTTTCTTGCGAACATGTGGCTTGTCCAGGTTTTGTATGTTGGGTTTCATGTCGTCCAGTTCAATCCTAAACAAAGAAAAATGGTTAAAATAAACTTCTGAGCCAGGAACGTAGATAGCTTTTTTTGTAATATTCCAACATGTAATCACAAGACGTGGTGACGGCACACTCAATTTTTTTTTCAACTTATATTAATGCCACCACCAACACAGGGGACAATACAATACTCATTTTCACCTGCGCGAAGTGAGGAAAGTCGTGTAAAGTGCCTTTCCCAAGGGCACAAGATCGGTGGCATGTCAGGACTCGAACCCGGACGCCAGTTACTGTACGCATTTAACGACTCGAGCCGGTTCAATGTCGCTTCAGAACCTTTACTGCTGCAGAAAGGTGACTGTAGTTACAAGATGGCGGCGACCACAGTGAGAGTAGCGTGGTCGGTCATAGGTCAACGAACCATGCACACCGATAATAGGGGTGGCGGGAACCTATTGCTTCCGAGTCGAGCACTCTGCCGCTACGCCACACGACCCCACCAATCTTGATATTAAACTTTGTAATACTGGTAATTGTCATGTCAATATTTAGGAATGTTAAATCTTCAGAACATGGTGGTGTGATGGTACACAGTCCCTTTTCGGTTAGTTGTTGGTTGACTCGGAGTCAAAAGGGTTCAAAGCTTTAGTTTGGAGTTTTAAATAGCCACTACCCGGGTACGGCAAAATGTACAATCTATTGATGGCGTGGAAAAAATGCTTCAAGGTCTAAACCCATCTAAAGCATGCGGTCGAGACCAAATACCACCTTGGCTCCTCACATGACAGCTATCGAAATCGATATCGCAACTGTGTTAACCAATATTTTTCAACACTCGTTGAACACCGGAGAGATACCTAAAGACTGGAGGGGTGCACATATTTGCGCCATTTTCAAAAAGGGAGGTAGAGAGGTCCCCAGAAACTACAGACCTGTTTCACTGACCTGCGTATCCTGTAAACTGCTTGAACACATCATCCATAGCCAAGTGATGAAGCATTTAGAAAGTCACAACATATTGACGGACTACCAGCATGGGTTTAGAGCCAAGCGATCCACAGAAAACACAGCTCATACTACACATAGCTGGTGTACTGAACAGTAAAAGTTCCCCATGGCAGGCTCATCTCAAAACTGGAGTATTATGGAATCCAAGGAACAACCCTAAATTGGTTAAAAGCTTTTCTAACCAACAGGGAGCAAACAGTAGTGGTGGAAGGGAAGTCTTCGGCTCCAGTTAGAGTAGCGTCAGGAGTTCCACAAGAAACTGTCCTGGGACCATTACTATTCCTCTTGTATGTAAATGACCTATTAGATCAGCTTGACTCAAAGGTGAGGTTATTTGCCGATGGCTGTCCGTTATATGTAGAGCTGTCTACACAGAATGACTCACAACTTCTACAAAAAGATCTGAACACGCTGGAAGAATGCCAAAGCAAATCGCTCATGCCATTTGGCAGAACTATAGATCCCTCTATCATCGTTTGCGACTTTCCCAAAGTGATCTGACATCACAAAAGTAATCAAACTGCAGACAGAATCAACTACTGCTGTACCAGTTTGCAGATTAAGACTCTACAGGCTACCCTTCTATCAGTACCAGTCTACAGTACTGATATAATAACATTGAGAGTCCCTAGAGGCTTTCTAAGGTACTGCAACACCACTACCGGTTTTGATATCTCGTGTTATGGACATGCTATGGTCAATATCCTTCATAGGCTGGTGAAGAAATGCTGTAGGCTTGAGTCTGCTAGTGCTACAAAATGACTAATAAACTGAACTAGAGAGGGTGACTTTGACAATTTGAAGGAATATTTGCAGCATATTTGTAATTTTCACCATGCATTGAAAGGTTCTGTTTCCTGTCTCCTACCCAATGACTTGACTTCCATTTTAAAAGGCAAGGGGGTCTTGTAGTTACTTATAGGTTTGTTAAAACCCTGACAAACCCCAGTGTTTTGCCTTCTGGCCCTTGGAGAAGGAACTTAAAACCTATTTCCTCACTCGGTGAAAATGAGTATCTAGCTTCGGTTAGGGACGTCCTCTCAGATAGGACGTAAAGATGAGGTTAGGAACAGCAACACCTCAAGCACATTGCAGGGTGAGTGGTTCAAACCTTACAGCCTGGTCTCAAGGTTGACAGAAAATGTAGCAGTAACCTGTTATGTTAATCCTTCAACCCACAATGTGCGGTATCAAACAAATCTCGACAAACAAACGAGCAAAAGTTACGACATGAAAACCCGAATACGGCAAATTGTACTCTCTAGTGGACCAACTCCCCTGGCATGTTATCTCTCTCTTACAACATGAAAACAACAAGGTTAGTTGATGAACCTAAGCTTGGTCTTACTATTAAATGCATGATACAAGCAGTCCTAAAGCTACGTAGATAGAAAGTTTCCATGTAGATATATTATATGGGCCTGTATCCTTACACGTTACCGTCAGACTTACGTCTTTCGACGTTATTGGAGTAATAGATTACGTAAGGTCATGTCAAAGGTCAAATATCGACATATACAGCCGGTACTTTGCAGAGAGAATTCTCAAGTTTAATATAGCAAGGTAATGAAGCTTCTTGGTTATAGTGAAGGTACTAACTACAGTACTACTGCTAACATAGTTTGAGGTGTTTTACGTTCTTCCTTGTCAACCAATGCACATGAAAATTGTCTTTTACGGAGATTTGACAGAAGCGCTATCTACAATCAGTCACAACGTATACCATCGAGGATACCCTTCAAGTCTTATTAATCCCATCGAAGATTTCCTAATCCTGATTACAAAACTAGGTTTGTCGACTACACAGTTGATAATAAGGCTGTCTGAACATACCGTCTTAGGTACCGAAGGAGCCAAACGGCACTACAGCTACTTGGAGACTTCTCGCGAATCCTGAGTCATGTCACTGGGCGCCGCCATCTTGCTAGGACTGCCTGATTACCGATATCGATGTCAGCAACATATGTTCGCTTGTCGATTTTGGCCATTTCTCAAAGTAGGATTTCTGACTAGGAATACGAAAACTCAGGACTAGCTGTCAAATATTTTGAGCTAAATAAAACCTCTATCGGGAAGAAGTAAATTCCAAGGAGGTTAGATACCTTGATCGTACTTGTAAGTCGTCACCTTTATTCAAAGAAGAGGACTGCATTATAAAACTAGGTTTGTCGATTACACAGTTGATAATAAGGCTGTCTGAACATACCGTTTTAGGTACCGAAGAAGCCAAACGGCACTACAGCTACCTGGAGACTTCTCTCGAATCCTGAGTCATGTCACTGGGCGCCGCCATCTTGCTAAGACTGCTAAGACTTCTGGGAATAGACCGACCCTGACTGTCCATCACAATTAGCGGTTCAACCAATCGTAGCAAGGTAATTAGCGGTTTGACCAATGGGAGGGAGGCAAGACTCCGTCAAGACTCAAATATTTGAATTTCTATGGTTTGTCGCCTGATTACCGATGGTGAGCAACATATGTTCGCTTGTCGATTTTGGCCATTTCTCAAAGTAGGATTTCTGATTAGGAATACGAAAACCCAAGACTAGCTGCCAAATATTTTACGCCGTATTACGAAACTGTCTTTCCCTTGTCGTGCCAAATAAATGATCTTGGCAAATAGGATGATAGTCCTAAATCGTATTTGAAATACTATTTTTATTACTTTTAAGTGATTCCCTTTAACACTGAAATCCTGAAAATAATCAGTGTCACCGATGTCGAGAAATTGAATCCACAATGTATTTGACTCCTCCCTCCCACTGAAAAAAGTGTGTTTACATCAAGCACTATCATAAATTCTAAAATATCACACTTTTTTTCAAGTAAGGCCATGTTGATTTGATTATAAGGATGACATCCTCCGGGAGCCCCAAAACTGATGCGCGCATGCGAATAAAAAAAAAGTTTTGCAAAAAAAAAAGTTCTTTTCATTATGAAATCTACGTGGTCATGAGGGTTGAGCAAATGGCACAGAATATGGTTTGGCGAATAATCTAGTCTTCAAATTCATTTCTTTACAATTTCGTCTTTTTTCGTTTGATTTTGGCATTCTACGACATTGGTATAGTTTTTACTAATATTTTTTGTAACTTACGGTATATGTTTGCTCATTTTGCAACTGTTTTGTACGATTTACAGTATGGTTAGTAAAACTTTTTTTTTGAAACGGCCGAAAATTCATGCGCGCGCGGATGTCATTCATATAATCAAATCAACATGGCCTAATATAAAACTTGACTACACATATCAAACCAACATATAGATCAGGGATATCAAAAAGATCACTTTTGATCCAGAAATAGCTACCGTCAAAGTTGCAACCATTTTGTTTACACTGTGTGAACTTCAAGCTCTGGCATAATTAGAAAAAAAAATGAAATGATGTCCTGCAAAATGAAAGCAAACATGACTACATAAATCACTGGAACACATTTCGGAATATTAAGGAGATGCCAACTTCTTATTTTGAAATATAGACTGCCAGACTTACCTAAATTTTGTCAGCCATATTGCTTACAGTGTGTGTAAAACAAACCACAGAAGGAAGAAAATTTAACTTTGCCGCCAAAAAGTCTACCCGTCTATTAATTACCATGTCAACACCGGGTGAGTAGGCTGCAGTTCAGTTTAATCTCCATAGAGGGCGATTTCAAAGTGCACGTCACAAGCAGATACGCCGACAGAATTTTTTTTGTTTCAAGATATTTTGTAGTTTCTGATGAAACATATTCGATCTTCGTATTTGTAAAGTGCACCCTATTATAATTTATACTACGCCGAAGTTAATCATCTTGGGTCCCTATAGAAGACCCCTCAGGGTGAAAACTGTGCAATGACACCTCACACTGCTACTGCTTTGAACCAAGAATTTATCCTCCTTGTTTGCTGTACAGAGTCCTGATGCATTTAAGTTAACTTCTGATGAAGTAACGACTAAGTTTGAAGCGCTTGTTTAAATCAAGTCAGTGGATGCCTCGAAAAACTGAACTGACAAGCATGACATCATCAATAGTCTATTGATGTATGTGTAACGAACAAGTTACCGAAGTATTCAACCAACCAACCAACCAGCCAACCAACCAACCAACCAGCCAGCCAACCAACCAACCAACCAACCAACCAACCAACTAACCAACCAACCAACTAGGCAACCGACGGATCACCTAGCAAGTAACTAAAGAAAACGAAAAAAAAATAATGACAGGAAAGACAATTCTAATAAAACCACAATCTCCTTGCCAAATTGTTGATCGATCGATGGAAAAAGTACAGGCTAAGTTCTTTGAGATTCTGGCGTTGGACATGAAAGGCTACAGAATCAGGCGAATTGCACATGTCGGAATGAACCACTAAAAATCTACCCATCTTCGACAGCGACATATAATATCAATATGGCGATGTTCCAAAAATATGAAGTGGTAAGATTTCGTACCATATAAACAATGTCATACACTATACATGTACATGTAGCTTACTTTCAGGTGTACATAACATCAATGGAAAGCAATCTGCATACCTATTTGCATGAGTGCGCCATAATTAAATAGACACAGATGTGTAGGTACAAACAAATAAATAAACTAATAATAAGCAAAATGTAGCAAGCATATAGATAGCAAACTTCATCGTTATTTAGACTACAGACTAGACAACAAAACCAAAATACATGCAGAGCTAGAATATACAATCATATACATGTAGTTGAAACTGCAAATCAGATGTAGATTCAACTTTGATTAAGACAAATAGAAAAACAATTCACCAATACCTGCCCATTGAAAACAAAATTACTGCTAATAACAAAACAGTTCTCATAAGTATCTAGACTGCTCAGATTGTATAATTACACTATGTATCATAATGTATCATAATGTCATTTAAAGCACTCTACAGAGTTGACTTTCCAATACAAATCGCAACACTCGATCGTGTTTAGGTTAGGTTAGGAAAAACACGGCATGTGTCTTGGGTAATTGCAATGAAACTAAAGAGAAGTGAAGTAAACTTACTTTGCCACCGGTAAGGCTCTCTTCTTCGCCACCGGTTTCGGTCTCGGTACGTTTTCTACGTCGAAAGTATCCCATCTCCATGTCGCCAAAAAGGCACAGCCATTGACTGAAGCAAAGACAAAATAAAGTCAAATGTTTGTTGAAACGTCAAGTCACCTCGAAAGGTGGTTGTATTTTTCCGATTTAAGATTTTCAGAGTGTAATGGGCATATAGGCTGTCTTCTTCTTCAAGAACTCTACCTTCATCATCATCATACATCCGGAAAAATCCAGTGTTACATTAAATAAAGTTATTCCAGTAGTTTTTCATGGCCGACCCTGAAAGACCGATGTCTCTTTCAATCATTGTCAATAAAGTATGATATGTGGTCTTTCAGCTCTGTGTTTTAGTGAGTAACCATACACTCTACCATAGCTTATCGTCGTTGTTTGTGTTTATGACAATGATATTCTTCAGTAACTCCACATGCAGTGCTAATAATACCTTTTGTTGTGTAGCTTTAGAGAGGACTAGAGAACTGACGACTAAAATAAGGAATAAAATTAGATATGCCAATTGAATTATAGTAGACCACGCTAGCTGCCATAGAATAGATCTTTAATGCTGACGTGGCACATGATGGCTCATGTCCCCAGATGCCATGAGCATAGAGACATTTTTTAGCAAAATTATTTCAAAACATGCACCGCGAGAAGGTAACAGGGATGGTCTTCAAGAATGTAAGGAAAATAAAATCAGATAAAACAGGATGAAATTGTATTTGATAAAAAAAATAGCCGAGCTGAGTGCTCAATCGCCATTTTTAGTGTCAGATGATGCAAGGTCAGGTAGCAAATGATTGCATCATCCAGACGATTGATGCAGGCTTCGGGTAACTTCGGTTCCCGAAGAAGGTTCTTCGGCACCACTCTAAATACAATATCTATCTCTTGTAATATATTAATAGTTCTGTAGCTTAACATATGATGTGCATTTTTGATTGCAAATTGTATGGGATTCAGTGACTGTGCCTCTTCGAAAGTACAATAAATACATCTTGAATCTTGAAAAGAGCGATCGAATTGTTTGAGGAACGAACACGTTAGATGTACACATGGTGCTCAATTTTTAGTATACATTTGTGGAATAATATTTCATATATGGTGGGTCGTGTAGCGTAGCGGCAGAGTGCTCGACTCGGAACCAAGAGGTCCCGGGTTCGAGTCCTGACATGCCACCGATCTTGTGCCCTTGGGAAAGGCACTTTACACGACTTTGCCGAGTATTGTCTTGTCGTGTATTCGTCCTCTGCGTTGGTGGCAAAATAAAATAACTTGATTTAGCTTGAGTGTGTCGTCACCATCTCTACATGTAGTCATGAAATGTTGGAATATTAAAAGAATATTTCATATATTTCTTGAAGTCAGTGTGCAACATTAATGTCCTCGGTTGCATCAGAAAATCGATTTCATGTCGGATGTGGTCGATGTGTACGTGCGAGTGAGGCGGATGTAGAGAGGGATCGCTGACGTGTCCTTAGGATAGCTGCAATATCTCAGTCTGAATATATTTTTCTCTTACAAAATTTAGACATCTTTTTTGAAAATGGCAATCTAAAGGCACCCAAAGTGATCTTAAGGCAGCACAACCTGATTTTCCATGTCAATTTTTTGGTCATTTTCTTGTAGTAAGTTGAATCATCCCTATCCCATAGTAAACGGTATCTGTTAGGCAGAAATGCGACGTCGCCGACAGTCTGAATATACTTTTTCTTGCAAAATTTAGGCATATTCTTTGAATGACAAGTCAAATGGACCAAAAGTGATTGTTTAGCAGTAACTGTATGTATCAAGTAAATTAGCTGGCCATTTTCTTAATGTAGTAAGTTGAATCAACCCGATCCCATAGCAAACTGTTATCTGTGAGGCAGAAATGCGCCTACTTGTTTCGTATCGTAGGCTGGTTCTAGATATTTCCTGGTGATACCAAAAGAAATTAGGGACTGCTCGCGTAGCTTGTTTTGGGGCTTATTCAAAACGCTTGAAGTATGAAAAGATGATTAAAAAATTTGCTACGAAATGGCAGTAAATGCCAATATCAGACAGATTTCGTCATCCAGAATGTTTTTTCTATCGCCGCACTCAAATTTGATTGCATGGTTGCCTATAAAAATATTGTTCACTCCGCGGAAGAACTCTGGAATTGTGGAGGTATTGAAAAAGCAAAGCCATTCTATATTGCAAATTTTCCATACATTTGGTGCGATGTGAAGTAGCGACGCATGTATCGTCTAGTCTCTACCAGACAAACTATGCTGGCTATATATAGGAGAATATTTGCTAGGGGAGTTTGGCCGCCTTGTAGGTTTGACTAGCTTCGGAGGGGAAGAAACTACCTCCCCGCGGCCGGACTCCCTTGATCAATTTTACTCTTTTATTTCCAAATTCTATGATCCGTATTCCCGTAGAAAGGCCTGGTGGAGGCTAGCATGTACCGTCCTTGGTCCGTGTGTGTGTGTGCGGAGTGGGGCGGATGTAACGTTTGCGCTGACGTGTCTTTTACATGGCTACAAAATTCAGCCAGAAAATCGTTTTTCTCTTCCTCTGCTGAGCTTATTCTTTGTACTAAAGACGACGCAGGTGGGCCAGATAGCTTAAAGAACTAGTAAGAAGTTGCTCAATGTTGTCCGCTTGTCAATTGGAGACAAAACGATAAAATTATATGGGGACCAATGTAAAATTCAGAACAGAACATCTACATAGGAAAAAAACGTTGAATTGGGAGCGTAATTATGAAACAAAGGAAAATGAAAAAGGACAATATGTGGTCTTTCTTTCCGATAGGTTTGCTGCGGTTTGAAGCGGCGGCGCTTGCCGGTAGGCTGTGGGCGGATGTGGAATCTAACGCTGACGTGTCGCTCAGAAACCGTCAACACGGCGCCCGCACACGCAGTTAGTTCTACGGACCGAATTTTCTCATTTTACCTCAACGAACTGGAAAAATTCACCGAAAAGACGGTGGAGAAATGTTTTTCGTCGCATTTCTAGCTTCCTGAGTGAAGAAACAAAGATGGTAGTGCTCTCTGTACGAGCCAACGAGGTGGAAACATTTGCTGTTTACGTTTCACACTTCTGCCTGCAAAACGCCCCCATGTTACAGGACACGTCTATTTGCCATGAAATGTCTGTCCCAAAAATCTTCTAGCAAATTTGAAAGCAAGGATTTTCCAACTTTCTTGCAGAAAATAGTGTCACCAACCGGGCAGTTGCAAATTGTTGTATTTCTGAACGTGAAACAAGGAAAATTTGAGCAATTTATCCGGATAAACTCGGCAGGGAAATCTTCGTGTTGCACTCTGGCTATCAGTGGGTGTCTGCGACCATTTTACGCAACACCGAACGGTAGAAAAAAAATCAACTACAAGCAAACATGTCGCAAGTTGTCGTATGTTTGAACGTGAAACAAGGGAAATTGGAACGATTTGACGGATAAAATCGGTGGGTAATGAAGCATATTTCCCTGGCTATCTGTGGGTGTCTGTGACCATTTTACGCAACACCGAGCGGTAGAAAAAGTCCACAACAAGCAAAAATGTCAGAAGAAGACACGGTAATGTACGGATACGCTTGTTGTCCCAGAAATCTTCTAGCAAATTTGCACCCTCACGGCAACACAATGTGAGACAGCTTTCCCTGGCTATCTGTGGGTGTCTGTGACCATTTTACGCAACACCGAACGGTAGAAAAAAAATCCACAACAAGCAAAAATGTCTGAAGAAGACACGGTAATGTACGGACACGCTGTACCTACCTGTTGGTAGAATAGTCAAGGTGCTGTATTTTTTTTAACGTGAAACAAGGACAATTGGAGCAATTTCTCTGGATAAAATTGGCAGGGAAATTTTCGTGTTGCACCCCGGCTATCAGTGGGTGTATGTAGGCATTTTACGAAACACTGACCGTTAGAAAAAATCCACAACAAGCAGAAATGTCGGCAGAAGATACGGCAATGTACGGATACGCTGTACGTACCTGTTGGTAGAATAGTCACGGCAACAACTGCCGCGACCAGCGCTAGGCTGAGAGGGCCGACTCTACTCATCTTCTCTTCTTCTCGTTGTCGTCGGTCCCTTCTCTTCTGATGAAACCTGCTAGCGCACCCCTCTTTATAATCTTGTACTATCTCAGTCTTATCTACTGACGTGTCCTTATGGGTAGGAAATAACGCTCGGGTATAGTTTCACGTGAAATGTACGACTCTATTGGCTTCTGCTTCAAAACAAGTCCCGGATCTCCCGGTAGATAGGCATCGGGGGAGGAGCTAGAGAGGGACAGAGGACGTCACAGCAGAGGTACGGACGTAAGCACACCTGTTGCAAACGCAATTCATTGCTTATGCCCCCATTACACCTAGACGGCGCTCTGACGGCGCTCTCTCTGCGACCTGAAATTGGCCAGAGCGCGGAGAGCACCAAGGTCGCCATGGGAGCGCCATGAGAGCGCCATGACCGCGCCATGACCTCAGCGACTGTTTCGAACCGGCTCGTACCATCGCTGTGAGAGCGCCCAGGACGGCGATGCAACAATAAGCGCCGTGAGAGTGCAAAGAGAGCGCCGAGAGAGCGCACAACAGCCCCAGCATTAATTTATATACAAAACTTGGTGACCTCGGCGCTCTGGCCAATTTCAGGTCGCAGAGAGTTAGAGAGCCGTGAGAGCACCACTAAGTTGAATGGGGGCCTTAATGGTGCAAGCAAGAAATATGACAAAGTATTCCTAGGAATAATAAAGCTGTATCTTTACTCGTAGAAAGTATGAATCGTTTCAGAATACAGTGCAACTCCCTAAGATGCTGAATGGGTGTTGCAGCCTGAGTTGTTCGTCTGTGTTGGACCGCTGTGAGGGTGGACCGCTGCAAATATATCAGTATGTGAAAATTTCCATCCTTATCCAACCCTCCCCCCATATATACCTGATATTTTTGACACGTTTTTTGTGCTTTTCGTATCATAAACGCATAAATTGAAGATCCCTTACAGAATATTATACCTTTTATTTCACTTGAATGTTTTTAAATTTGTCATTAGGCTGAGGACACTGTTTTTACAGTAGTATGTGTAAGCACACCCCCATCGTACCAATTTATTATTGCTCAAAATCGCCCCTCCCTCCTCGACCATTTCGTAGCCAGACGTATTTTACGAACACGGAGGTGTGTACATGTATACGGATACGCCCTTCTGTGACGTGCGAATATATTATCATCATATCTTACTGACGCTGTAGGGGCGTGGAAAGACCAGGATGTGTCGCAATACTAGCTTGGATATCAGACTGTTTCCAGGGCCTACACAGGCCAGCTCCTCGGCTCCAGGGCCAACATGCCCCCAATGAAAGTTTACCACAGCCTCCCTGATTTAGACCCTAATACGCAGTCTAACTTGGGGCAGAAGCGTATGCTCGTTCCCTTGAAGGATATAGGCGAAGAGATTGGTGTGGCTTAACGTGGTATCTGACAATCCAGGCTATGACAATACAGGCTATGCTGGAATGGCGGTACCGTGTACTATTTTTTTTCATTAAATGAGTGAGTGTACGATTTAACAGTGCAATAGTGTATCAAAGTAGCTAACGAAAACACCATGAACAGTTAAGAAGAAAGGATAAGGAATACTAGAAAGGCCAATATTTGCTTTGGAGCAAATATAGCGATGGGTTCACCACATTTTACCACATGGCAGGGAAAGAATGAGAAACACAAGGGAAAACAATGCTTTACATTGATATAACTATAGTATGAAGTAACATACAACTAAGACTACAACAGTTGGATAGCTATTCCCTACATTATTGGTTAGGATTGCATAATGCAAACTGTTGATTTTCAAGATAAAAAGAAGCGTTCATAGCCCGCATTCCAATGCTGGAGCAGGAAAGCTTAAAATACCTACCAAAACACTTGAATACAGACATACTGTCAGTATGGCATGGCTCTGTGCAGGTGTAAATGAAGTTAAGCCAGTTAAATCCCAACAGCCAATCAGCAAGGAGAATAGAGGAAAGCTGCATGCCTATTGGTTGATGCCTTGCATGCCATTGTGATGACTCATGTCCAAATGTGGTAAACACTGCACACTTACACAGTAATACATTAGCTATTACACAGCCAAAAAACTCAAATAAAACCATTCTAAAAGCCTGTATCACAATAATTTAAAAAACGCCTAGGGGTATTTGCCCACTGTACCTCCATACCAAATTTCAGGACCTTAGGCCCTAAAATGAAGAAGCTGAATCCATTTAAAGATATGGCAGGAGGAGAAGGAGGAGAAACATCAGAAAAAGCAATATGGTTTCACCACACCACTTCGTGGTGTGGTGAACCCATAAATATGCACAAAAAAGAATGTTTCTAGTTAGTATTTATGGTAATATTTTCTCATATGTACATGCCGCACACATGTATGTAGGGTTATATTAGGCAAATCATATTGTTATTCGATTGAAAATATCTACCGACTGAAAACAGGTACACATGTCTAACTTATGATTTATTATGTTTTATAGCAACCCATTATTTTCTGATTTATAGCAACCCATTATTTTCTGATTGTACCCGTATTTTGTGATATTTACAATTATAACTCTTCTCCCTGTTGTTTATGCTAACTGCGCACAGACTACGCACGGCAGGGCCCGTACGTAGCTGCTCCCGGATCCCGTCTATTGATCTGTATATGGTCCAAACACCATCTAACCATGGGTAGGGACACTGCGCGACGCGCTTGCGTATAGTCATTATTTATACACGAGTGTTTTGAGCATTATCAATCATATATCTTAGTTAATATTTCGCTCAATACTCAGCTCATTTTCTCCGTACAATTAGAAAGGGTCAGAAAAACGTGTATTCCCCATTCTTTAAATATCGCTGGGTGCCAAGCATAGATACTTATGTTATTAAAATATGTAAGATTTGACCATGCCACATTAGCAACAATTTACAACAAAGAAAAACCACGAAATTTCTCCCCTCTGTTGTTTTTCTATATGATCCGACCGTATGACACAATACATTCAAATTGTTCGCAACACGTTTGTTTGTGATGCAGCAGTCATAAATGGTCAATTCAAACACAGTCATCACTTTTGATCATTGTTGATATCCCCAACGTCTTGATATCTTTTTTTGACGATTTTTGACCCGACACAGTTGAGGTAGACTGAATAAGGTGTGGAAGTGGGGTGGACAACTGTCGTGTTTCCCACTGGTCAGGCTCCACTGGTCAAAACCATAAATTTTACCACTAGTCAGGTAGGCCCGGATGTAACATACCATCACATATTCAGTAGTTGGGGTACATGCAGTATCATTTATTCTACAAGCAAGCGAGAAAGGTAGAAACCTCTTAGAAGGTAAGGAAAACTCTGTAGATTCAAACTGTGTAATGTAGCTGTAATTATGTACGATGGTTTGGGGGGGGGGGGGTACAAGGCCGTTATTGCATCATCACCATCCCAGTACCAGGATTTAACAGCAAATGACCATCGTCCGACGCATTTGCAGACAATTGTACTTCGAACGACGATTACCAGAGGGCTTAATCTTTGTGCTGCAGAGCCCCCTGCTGATTATCTCAGGAACTGTAGCAAGAAAATTATATGTACCCCTAATATAATAATTGTTTGCTAGGCCATAATGATTTGATTATATGGATGACATCCTCTAGGAACCCCAAACTGACGCGAGCGTGCGAATAAAAAACGTTTGGCGAAAAAAATTGCCATCATTATGAAATCCTACGTGGTCATGAAGGTTGAGCAAATGACTTAGCACACAGAGTATGGTGTGGCGAATAACAGACTCTGTATTTTTATTTATTTCTTCATATTTTCTAATGTTTCTTTCGAATTGAGTTTAGAAATTTTATGACATCATTTTCCAATATTTTTGGCAATTTGCTCAAATTTTGCAACTGTTTTGTACGATTAAATTACAGTATGGCTGAAAACCTTTTTATTATGGAAACGGACAAAAAATTCATACGCGCGGGACGTCATTCATATAATCAAGATAACATGGCCTTACGTATGGAAAACTCTTCCCATTAATTGTCTAGCGACTCCACCACAGTGCACGACCGCATATTGCAGTATCATACGTTTGCCGGTGAGCAGCCGGAACTCAAACTCTGAAACCTTCTATACAGATGATGCTGTTCGTTAACCGCTAACACTGACTACGCGCTAGCTACACACACCATCCCACAAAAAAAGTCGACAACAATTCTGCGAAACATATTTTCCAATTGCGAAATTAAGACATTTCCACGTTTCCCTTCATGATGAATATGTCGCCATGCCGGCCGGTCTAATAATAGGCTCCCTATAAGGCCTATGGCACGCAGCGGCCCGGCGTAACGTTCCAGCCCCGCGCTCCTGCTATTTTTAGCCGCCCTCTCCCTCTGTATCCCCGACAGTGAGTGTGCGTAACCCAGTGGACTGTGTTTTCGCCTTTATCAGAAAATCTAACCGTCTGAAGTCTTGGTATTGAACTTGTCACTTGAGTGCGTTGTCGAGCGTCTTCCGTGTAACGTTTAGCGGCAATGCCGAGTCTTAGAGACCGGTAGTAGAGGCGCTTCAAATGCGGGCAGGGTGAACGGCTATTTTCGGGCAACGCCTGCCTCCGGGCGTAAGATCTAGTCTGCCAGGCGGTAGAATCGGTCAGACGGAAAGAATTTGAGTCTCACTAGTCACGTCTGGTCTCCTCTGTGATTTTCCATCGCCCGGTCTTCGTGTGTTTCCCCAACAACAAGATGGACAACCTAGAGCGGCAGCTAACATGTCCGATCTGTTTAGAGATGTTCAACAAGCCCGTGCTGATACTACCCTGCCAGCACAACCTCTGTCGCAAGTGCGCCAACGACGTGTTCCAGTCGCGAGGCACGCCGAGCGTGGTGGGGAGCGGCGGCCGGTTCCGCTGCCCGACCTGCCGGCACGAGGTCGTGCTCGACCGCCATGGCGTCTACGGGCTTCAGCGGAATCTGCTTGTCGAGAACATCATCGACATCTACAAGCAGGAGATGGAAGGAACCGGCATCAAGATCACCAAGAAGAAGGAAGAGCTGATGTGCGAAGTGCATGAGGAGGAGAGAATTAACGTGTACTGTGTGGCCTGCCAGTTTCCTATATGTTCCATGTGTAAAGTCTTTGGTGAGCACCAGGATCACGAAGTGGCGACCATCCCAGAAGTGCACAGCAGGCAGAAGGTGAGAAAATCCTTTCTTTCTTTTTTTTCAATAACAGACAACCAGATGTTAGTTATTGAGTGATGTGTATGCAACACTGGCCAATTCAAAACCGCTGAGTAAGCATTAATATTATAAAAAATTATACAAGAAAAATCTTATATATATGATAAGAAATTATATAATATCGTAAAAATATCTATAAAAGTAACACTAGTATTTCTTTCCTATAAAGATTATTAATATTTCAATTGCCTGTTTTCCAAGAATACAGACTATTGCTTCAAAGTGTACGTGTACTGTGCTCAACTAGTCGGTAATTTTGTAGAATTCAATTCTAACATATCATAAGACTAATGGTAGAGGATGCGACAATTTAGCTTTCCAAAATACAGAGATAAAGAGATTAAACCCGTGTCCAGGCAAATAGTTGTTTGCGTCTGGGTACAGCGATGTCGACAGCTGGGGCGGTGTAGGGTTTCATGTTACTCATGGGGCGTGCCACATATGGGGTCAGCAGATACACTTGGCTACAGCAGGCTTCGTGCGTCTATGTAACTCAGGCCTTATGCAACATCTGGGGCGATATCATTGGTTTAAATCTATATACTGCCGGATACAATGTTGTACTGTGATCCAGTAAAGTTTAGAACGGAAACTGAGGCTTAAGGCTGAGAGTTGCCATGAATGGTTGAGGTTGCACCTCTTGATGATGCATCATAAAAGCCCAATATGTATGGCAAAAGCAATCTCAATTCTTCTATAACTACTGCAACATAAGACACCATATCATTAGTTTATATCAATATACTGCGGAACTATGCAGTACTGTGATAGTAATAAAATACTCATGGCTATCCGTAGTACTAGTAGTACATTATTTGCGGCAACTGGTTTTTAGTTATAAGTAGCATGAAGGTTTATAACGCTTGATATACGATTTTCCAAAGAGCGAATGATTCCTCAGAAATCTTTTATGGATGATTCTTTTGGTAGACAAAAAGGAGATAGGTCCAGTGTTTTAACATGTTTGGTAATGGTCTTTGTTTAAGTAACTAACATTTCTAGGAGACGAAATCTACGTTTTGATGAAAAGTACCAACATGAATTAACATGACATTTTTCAAGTCAAGTGCCATTATATGTTTCAGGTTAGATCATTATTATGCAATTATTGGTGGCAAATGTAGCAAGTGGAAAAGCATGACGTAGTTTCCGCTTCCTGTTTCCCCAAACAGGCCATATCTCGTATATAGTGTATCAAATTCAAAAACCCTTTTAGGATAAATTCTTCATCTCAAAATCACGGAAATATTTTGGCAAAACAGCCGGAAGAACCTGCTCTCATGTGGTGCTCTGACGTACAGCATATGCGTCATTATTTTGAGATAATAATCATCAAAGTGAACTCATAAACAATAACAAGGACAAAAAGTTCTTTGTCTTGGTATATTTTTTGAGATGCAGTGTACAACAATAACTGGTGTTTACACGAAATGATTTATTCTACTGCCAACATCTGTTATACTGGTAACAGACGGTCATTATGAAATCATAAACTTGTTTTCACTGTAATTCAATCGCCAAAGAGAACAGTACATGTGCACAATATGTGCTAAGCAATATGTACACAATGGCAAAACACAAACAATTGTGGCGATGACTCGGCAGAATATAAAAATGAATCGCAAGATATTTCAATCAAACACAAAAAACACGTCGTTGTTTGTGTCCTTGGCTGATCCAATGGTTTCCCACTGGGAGACGCAGAGTGGAATGACCACATGCTACACTTCTGTCAATGGTAGGCAAAGACACTGGTCTTGCAGAGACTGCTAGTGACCGCCATGAAGGACAGAATGTATTGGGGTCCACTTTATTAAGTGTACCTCACCGGATAATTATTTCGATGATGCTGATTGTGTCCTTGATTGGATTATGTTGGATGCTGTGTATTGGTCGCCATCTTGTTTGTAAACTGGTCTATTTCCATGGTCAGACACATGCCAACACATGTTCTGTCACTCAAGTTAGTTGTTTACACGTCTTAACATGCCTAATCTAAACAGCATGAAATGAGATGACTTCAAGATCTTTTCTTTTGGACATTTGACTCTATTATTAAGCAGAAAGAATAGTTTAACAGAGAGATGCTCATCTTGATTATATGTTATTTTAAGCTACAGTGTATTGAACGTCTACGGATAATCTGATGTAAAAAAGATACTGTGACAAATTTGGACATGCCTAGTCGTTTCACCACATTCTAACCCGCATCAGTCTGTGTGGTAGTTTAATTCTGAAGATGCTCCATTTTATAATAGGTAGGAAAGAACCTGAAGTGTACACATGAAAATACTAGCCTACGCTTTCCTGTTGTCTTATGCTGGCTGATTTGCAGTGACCTGTTACTTAACGTGCCATTTTAGCATGCTATATTTAGTAGTAATAACGATATCACAGGCAGTGCATATTGACATTCGAGTGACTCCCATGAGCCTTGTTTTATGGTGAATCATGAGGTAAATAAAAAAAACCTGTATATTTGTATCATCACCATTCAACATGGTGGCATTCCAGAATCATGTTATTAAGCAGAACGTACACTCAACCTAGGGCAAAATTCCATCTTTAGTATTTTTGTGAGACTGGAGGATGCTCCATGGTCACTACGTATCGTGTCTGTACGCCTGACGACTTGTGTGTTCACTGTTCCTCTATTTGCCTCTGTGTGAGGAAGCTCTCTCAATTCGCGTTGGCAAAGACGTAAGAAATTCCTCCAGTGGATCAAAATGGAGAAATCGGTCAACAAAATTCCGTACCATTTCTCCGAGGACCTAATAAACAAATGCTATACATCAAACATCCTGCACAACCACAAGATGGACAATACGAGCGCTCCAACTATGAAAATGAGCTTTTGTACTCTTTTTGTACTGTAATTTTATTGTTATGGTATTTTCATATGTATTTCCAAATGATTGTATTTTAAAAAATCGGTGCAGAACTCTTCTCCAGATGTTAAATTTCATCTGTAGCGCCATAGGGGCAGTAATCACAGGATCAATAATTATTTTGATTTTTCAGCATGCGTCACATCTAGTAGCCTTGGGAGTTTTGTATCTGCGACATGTTGCGAAGAGAGGAGCAAAGACGCGGCATTGGGCCAAATATAGCAGCGAAAATAGACGATGTGATGACAAGATGGCGTCAATAATTTTGATAAAAATATGGCGTCATAATCTTTTAAATAATAGCTACAGTTTTTATAGAGTCACCGGCATCATCGGTGATGCACAGATTTTGTTTGCTTGTTTGTTTGATTGTTGTATGGCCGGTAAACAAACCATTGTAGTATGCAAAATAAAGCTGTTGGCAGGCAAGATAACTTTATCTTGGGCTGAAGCGTTGCCTAGAGGCAATGGTCACATGTTCAGCAACCATGTATCAGATTTATTCAAGATGGCGGATGTCTGTATTTTCTTAATAACGCTTCATAATCATAATTGATCTTTTTTCTAAAAAGGAGTATATATATATAATATCATCAATATTGATTTATATCCCTCTGTAGGATTCCATATAAGCATATCTTAAGGAAAGATTATTCTACTTTGATGTTTTAAATCTTTGCTGACGCTCAAAAGTCTGTTGGCTCTCCCTCCCTCCCATGTACATATAGGGAGGAGTTTTATCTTTACTTGCACCACTTATCTAGCCAGTGCATGTCAGCCAAGACAGAAGTGGGTTACAGCCTAAAGCGCGGTGACTAGAGATATGTCACACTTAGACTGGTGACCAGTCTACCGTGGTTGGGGTGGGTTCTCTTCGGGGCTGCAGGAGCTCTTCCCCGCCCGACTTAGCTAGGTTCCCCGGTAGGTTTTGACGGGAGTTAAATTAGCAATACCACAATCTATATTGCGGTGGGGCCAATCAACTCCTTGCGTGCAAAACTCCTACAGGCGTAACACTCCAACCGGACGGTCTGTTGAGCTGGACTGGAGAAAACTATGAGAGCCCCAAAGACAGCCTACCCCAACCACGATATACTGGATACCAGACTTAAGTCACACTATGTTGAAGATGTTTGCTCATGTTAGTTGGGTGATGAGGGCCACCATACCCGATAGTCTGGCGCACCCTGTACTAATGTTGTGTACTTTTGTCATGGTGTGCTGCGTACTGAAGCAATATGTATGCAAATCCCCTACAAATCTTTCTAAGAAATGCCATACGACAATTCTGGTATCCATACAAATATGTACAATGTAGAAATTACAAAATATATGATTGATTAAGCCATCAGACAGATTAAACATATAATGGTATGGCCAACAGAAAGATTCGGCCATTAAATACATGGTAAATTGATTGGTAATAGCCTTTACTAAGAGTACATGTACATGTAACTACCAACGGAGAGGAATTTACATGATAACATCATAACGTTTGTGTGCATGAGTGGTCATGATGTTTACCGAAGGAAAGCCTATTGTCTTTGTTCAGCTTCTTCCTCTTCTTCTTCTCCAAAGAAATAAGGTCAATGACCTGAACCAGACATCTATCACCATGGTAACTTGTGTTGGCTTAGTCTTGTAATTTTATATCAGGCCAGGGGGGATTTTTCCTGTCTGACCATAATGTGTTTGAGTAAGACTCAACAGAGCTGACCTTATGCGAAGGTAAACATTATGCTTTAAAATTGTTTTTCGAATGTTGCCTTTCTATTTAAATGTCTGCATTTTATGATTCCCAGATTGAGCTGAGTGACTGCATAGCCAAACAAGTGGCCGCAAACGACAAGCTACAGAGCGTCATCAGTCTGTTGGAGGAGGGATGCCGGGTACATGAGGTGAGGACACGGTTAAAACATGGACATAAAGGATCCTAAGGAATGTGTAACTAGTAGATAGAAAAAAAGAACTGCAAACACGAGTCTTAAAATACGTTGTAAATTGAAGAGGAATTGAAAAAGAGCGAATATTAATAAAAGGAATTACAGTATGTCAATGTTGCCAACTATACGTTAAAAAGATATTAGATGCTATAATATACCACACAGGCTACGTGTAGATAAGATAGAAGTCATACTTACTACTGCCTTACTACTACACACGCAGGCTGATAAATGTATTCTTAAACCAATGTTACAGCAAGTTTTGCGTCTGTCCAACAACATAGAAGGCATAGCCGGCCATAGTGTGACCCTGGACATGTCCAGGAGATTTTGTTAGTTACACTGGACATGTCCAGGAGATTGTGTTAATTTTTAAAGAAAACTAACTTTATTTCTGTCACAAACCTGGAACAGATGAATGCACGGGAGGTGAAAGCCGCCATTTGTGACAAGTTCGACAGACTGTACAGTATCATAGAAGATCGCAAGGGGGTGTTGCTATCATTGGTAACGGAAGAACAGCTGGAAAAACAGAAAGTGCTGCAGGTTAGTACATGGAACATCTACCCGATATTAGTAACTGGTGACTGTCATTGTTTAAAGTGCAATGACTCTTAATGGCACTTTCAAACATTTTTGCAACGTTTAGAAAACAGAAAGTGCTGCAGGTTAATACATGGAACAACTAGTGGCTCAAATCCCCGATATTAGTAACTGGTGACTGTCATTTTTTAAGTGCAATGATGTACGTCTAAAGGCTTCGGTAACATTTTTGGCAAAAAAAAAACAATTTCAATGAACAAATGCTTATGTTTTGAATTTTATCTTTTATCAAATGAGTTTTGGAAACATCCCGAAGAATATGTCCTTCATATTCTATATAACATTTGTTTCTTGATTCATCGTAAAATTCGTGAAGTTGCAAAGCCCAGGCATAACTGACCTACGTACCCTGCATTCCAACATTTTATTGATCAATTTTGTGTGGTTAATTCTGTCGAAGGCTTCACTAAAGTCAGTCAGCAGGACATATACATGTATATTGAATTGTACACATATATTGTATATCGAGTCCCTCCACCCCCAAATCCCACTATTGTACTTATTTGTTGTCTATATAATACCTACCGTCACCTGCTCCTCCCAGGAACTGATCGCAAAGTACAGCGGTGAGCTGGAACGCGCGGCCAAGTCGGTGGAGGAATCCCTGCTATTTCTAGAAGAGCCGGACAAGGCTGCCTTCCTAACGGTACGAAAGACCTAACCCTTACACACTACGTCCTAGCGCAGTTTCTAAGTCAGTTTCACAACACGTTTTTCACAGGATCTGAACGTTACGTTCAGCGGAGAGTTGGAGAGCTCGTCAAAGATGGTGGAAAGTACACTCCAGTTTTTGGAGGAACCTAATAAAGCTGCTTTCCTGGCGGTACGTAAGCGTATCAGACTGTAAAATGTATCCCTCTTTTGCGAGGGTAACTTTCTCATTTGGTGCTGCTGCTGGTGTGTTTATTGTTGTTGTACGGTACCACTCACATCTGCTGTCTATCTGCTTGAGATGGTAAAGTAGCCTGGTGTCCATCCCAATTAGAACTGGTATATAGACACTTTATCAGGGATGGATACCAGGCTACTAAAAAGGGACAAGATGAGACAACGGAGAAGATGAGCTTCCATGCAGCTTTAACACGGTGCAGCCATCTTTAGGCTGCTCTGCTGAGTAACATTGGTGGCAGCTGGCCTCCGTAGCAGGCTTATAGAACTGGGGGTTTGGTGGTCTTCGGCTGTTTTCTGATTAGCCCAGTTCTAAACGGGGGTAAAACCAGGCTGGCTATGTTGTCGACATGCAATCAGAAAATAGCACATAAAAGATCCCAAAGACCCTGAAGACCCCCAAACCCCCAGTTTTTGGCATGCTATGGAGGCTAGGTGGCAGCTGGGTGACTGCTAAACTGGTGGCTGCGGTGGGATCTAGACTCATGCCGTCGAAATAACCAATGATGCCCCTTTTGAATCTATTATATTAATCCTCTTTAATAGCAAGGTTTTAATAACACGTTGTTAGCCAAGATAACCCAATTTATACATTTTTTGCTAATAGTGGCTTGGAAAATTCTTAATAATTTGTTGCAATCACATCCTGTACATGTATGTATGCACTCACTTATATGACATTTTCTCCTTATTTCAGAAAACCAAGGAATTGATAGAAAGGTATGTATGTCTAACTTCAACTTCTTTTACAACTGTAATTGCATTGCTGGATATAAAAATGGCTTCCCTGTGTAGAGTACAGAACATCTAAATCATGATTTGAGAATTCGTGTTTGAAAAACAAACTTCATCAATTCTCTGGACGTTTTTATTGCTTACTTATCTTCCTTTTTGGACATACATGATATTTTTACAGAATAAACGCGGCCATTGAGAGCAGTAACAACGCTAACATCCCCGAGCAGGGCGGATTCGAACATCTCCAAGTGGATTTTTCCAAAGAGGAAGACGTTCTTCAGAAGCTAGACTTTGTCAAAGGTAAGACATAGAGTGCATTTAGCCTACATTATCTTCAAGACGAAGTAAAAACAAACCAGAAATACAGGTTAATTGTAGTAGGAACTAGTTTCTACTACAGTAAATTTAAACGATCAGTGAAAATACGTTGTCACAAACTACGACTTATCCATTTTTTGCCAGGCACCACAAGGCACTTAACTAGAGGCTTATTAGCATTAGTTCGATTCAAGTCAAAAAGGTGACCAATTATTTGAGTCGCTCATAGTCATCACACTCACGCCACCTAATCAGCCAATCCCATTCTGGCTCCCAGGCCAGCTTTAAAAAAATATCCTATAACATCACCATGGAACAAGCTACCACGTGATTGTTTCCCAAAAGGGGATTTACTTAAACTTTTCAAGTCTAAGGTCAACAATTCATTCGTCCTCACTGTCTAGTATAGTCACCTACAACATTTGAGTGGCTCTTACAGTATGAGCCTTGTTTTGTGGTGAATATGAAGTAAATAAAAAAAATATATTCTTGTTTGCCTTACTGTAGAGGACACCAGTGTCGCCGATGCTGAGACCCAAACCAGAGGCAGCATCAGCGAGAGATCAGGTCACGACGCGGAGTCCGGAGACACCTTCGCAGACAGCCACGAGGGCGAAGTCTACGAGACGACCACCGTGACAGAGTCGGAAGGGATGGGAATTCTGTCCGACGACCCACCCACCGAGGATGCCAGAGGCGAGGGGGCTGCAGGAGGTCCTGCAGCTGACGACGATGACGTCTTCATCACCCCGAGAACGCAGAGCCCAAGCTCCGCCCCTTCGACGTCTAGCCAATCAGGTACTTTGTCTGGAGATGCTGGTTCCTCCTTGTACAAGACCCTGTTTGGCATCATCAACCAGTAATATAATGGTGCCTGGTCTACAAATCGGATGGCGCGATGTAAACATGCACATTGCTTGCACATTGGATTCACGTGTGAATATACGAAAAAAAAAACAGTTATTATTCAAGCAATTGCGCAAGTGGATATGATTTTGGAAACGGTGTCACTGAAGAAAGGTAGTGGATGCTACCTGAAACGGCTGGCCATTTCCCAAATAATATCTAGTTGCTTGTCTTTTTGGGGTATCTTATTACCTGGATGTCTAACCTTCACCGACATAAATACAATTACTTTGATCACACACGTTTGCTTATACATATCAATGATTATTTTGCTGCCAGAATTAACCTAAGATATACGAAATAAATTACATCAATTTTGTTCACTTTGAAGCTGAATGATACGAAGGAAATTCCACTTTAAGAGTAAAGCGCGACGCTCAACCGATTTGATGACCATGGCCTTAACTACATACATGTATCACCTGATCACTAAGTTTTACTCCATTAGAAGTAAGGAATATATACTATTTTGAGACGTATCACCACATGCATTGGTGCATGGTGTTTTGAATTGTAAGTACTGCTATGAAGTATTTTAAGGCAATATTGTATATTTGAAATTGATTATACTATATGCCAGGCAATACAGACTCATTGCAAGTCTTCTTTAAAAATTTAAATTCGACTCTTTGTATTCCCCGCTGCTAGTGGCCATAAGTAGGCTGGCTCTTTGGTTTGATAATATGTCTACTGTGCACTATGGATCTCCTATATAACCAGAACTTCTTTTGTCTAAGATATAACAATGGTGGAAATGACTTTTATGTCTGCCAGCGTATAGTGTGAATAAGTAGATAGGCTCTTTGACAATAGGTTTAATCAGCCATATTCTTCGTAATCGTAGCTAACTTAGATCCTGTTAGATCTTTCCAATGGCAAAGATAACTTCTAATACCTTACAGCGTGTGATCTATTCCTTTCCGATTAAAGTTTGATGTGTTCATGCCCTAACATCGCGTCAACAGTGCAGTTTTTGAGCCCTTCTACATTAACATATACTAGTCTCCTCTTTTGATGGTTAGGCTTGATGGTATCTGTGCGAGTTCCTTGCGTTTTATAAGCAGTAAGTGCCTAGTTCCCCCAGAGCTGTAGCTGCCAAAATATTTCCCTTTGCTTCCCAGCTAAACTTCATCACTACATTAAAGAGTCCCAAATAATCCTGGCCCAAATACCTTATAAATGTAAATTTCATTGATGTCAACCCATGTTAACAGAATCTGGGGCAGAGACGGGCAGCGTTGACGACTTAGAGTCAGAAGAAAGTGACAAAGTCGAACTGATCCGTCAGTCCTTCCCACAAAAGGAAAACAACAAGACCGCAGAAGGTGCGAGCTCCTCCCTGTGGGAAAACCCAGCAGACAGGCGGCGCAACAATATGGCTTGCCTAGAAAAATGGCGACGTAAGACTATCAGCTCTCCAGTGCCTCTCGCTGCCTTCAGCAGTAGCGGTTATCCCAGTTATTTTGGTTCGACAGAAAATCTCGCAGCAGCTTCCACCTTGAGGTCTTCAACCTCGAGGCTCCCCCGCTACCCAAGTCTGCGTTCTGTGTTTAACCGATAAACTAATTAAACATTGCCGCAAACTCCCGAATAATCTCGGTTTTCAGACCCATCCTCTTTTGTATCTGCAGCAAAACTCTTCATAACGCTTTGAAACATGTCATATTGAATGACGATAACACATTTTGTCAGAATTTAGTAAAATTGACTGTAGTGATGTTACATGATGGATACAAACTACAGCTGTATGCTAGGCAGACACTATAAGCCATTTCCACCACTAGACTAATTATTAGCATAGAAAAATATAGCAAAACCATGTAGATCAATGCTATACATTCTGCTTCCTAGAGCCGCCTTCTTTGCGTCCCCATGCAGCAAAAAAGCCCAATTGTCCATGTAATGCATGACTAAAGCAACGTATATTTCATCTTCAACAAAATACAACGGCTGTCATTTTGCGGTTGTTGTTCATTTTTGCTTATCGAGTTTTGTCAAAACGTGACAACGAAATTTGGACGGTGTACTTTTTTCTGATCTTGCAACCATCTTAATAATTACACTCCCAAATCATTTATTTGGTTCTCTTTGTTTCAGGAAATGGTTGTGAGTCAAAACAGCTAATAACTTTGCCAAACACGTTTCCGTCGCTAAATTCCTTGCGAGTAGCCTGTGGCTCTTGCCTCTCCGTGGCGTGCATGACCTTTCCAAAACTAGCAACCATTGCCCCGGAACTTGACGAAGATGCCTGCGAAGACTACATTTACGTAGTTTCTAAACTCGTTTTTCTAGTTCGAGGAAGTGGAGACACCATCTATTACGTGTTTCCCTAGCTAGAAATGACAGCCTTGTGACACATACTTATTTAGTCTTCATAATATAATGATAGATTATGTACATATTAGATACGACTTATTATAATATTCCTGTGTTTATACAAACTAATTGTTCCTAACCAGCTTGATCGTAGCCAACGTCTTCTCTTCACTGTTGCCGTTCTTTCCGCCTCCCCACTGCTTCCGAAGCGCCCCACTACTACCTATATAACACAGAAGTAAACCCCCTGCAAGACCGGCCGCCCATGAGCCGAGCCAGTATGGAATATTACGCCTCAGTGTTGAACAACAAGCCGGAAGAACTGCCAACAGATGAAGCTGCCACAGCGCAAGCGTCGAACGAAGTCGCGCCGAAGGTAGCCGAAGGGGCGGCGGCGAAGGTGGCCGAAGAGACGGCGAAGGTGGCCGAAGGGACGGCGAATGTAACCGAAGGGACAACGAGTGAGGTCGAATCTAAAATTGAAGATACGGTTGAGAAAGATAAAGAGGAAGAATCTGAAGTTGAGACCGCTATCGGCGATTTCCGCAGAAGAAGAAAGTTTACAACAGCAAAGGCTATCGAGACAGCAGTAGGCGAGAACACTCCCAGACTTATAACTGTCACTCCGGAAGAGAGTCAAGCCATCAGGGAGTTTTTGTCGGTAAGTTTGCTATTGGGTTGATTTTAGAAAACATTGCATATACGAGACTACAATATTAGCTATGCACGTGGTCATGTCTATTGGTAGGTGCATACACTTAACTTGGTCATGTGCTTTTATCATTTCAAAAACTTTCGATCTGTCAAATGCAGGGAACTTCAAACAACGAAGCTCCGTGATCTGCCCTAAGTCTGTAGAAAATGCATAAATTAGTATCATCTCCCACAATCATGAAAATTCAGTCTCTTTATATATCCTTCATATCATTTAGAGATGATATGTCGCAAACTTACTTTGCCAGTGCCCATCTCAATGGTGACCGCCATTTTGAATTTGCTGCCATATGAGTTTCTGCGCATGACCGGAAGCCTCTGTCTCTTCCGTTTTCCCTCCCTCCCGGCATGCAGAGCGTGTCGTCGCTAACGCCGCCCCCGTCCCCGGCCGGTCGGGTCAGTCCCGCGCAGGACGGTACCACGGAGCCGGGAAAGCCGGGGGAGACCGCCACGCAGCCGCAGCAAACCACGGCACAAACGGTGAGGCATGTTCACTGAATGAAACGGAAGGTCAGTTCACGACGCACCTATCAATAGAACATGGCTGCTTGGGCCGGGACTGCCGGGGTTCTTACCTCCGCCAAGGAAGCATGATTTGACTGTTAACAGGTTGCCATGAAAATTTGGTATCAGACTGTAGCATTGTCAGAATTTTCGAATCAAACATCAAGGAAGCTGAGTCGCCGAAAAAGTGAAATAGCGCTGATATGTTGAAAGTTATCGAAAATGAGGAAATTTCAATTATTTATATTTTCCGTTTTGGCGCAAAAATCTTACATAATATCACTTTAACAGATTGCCCTGAAAATTTCGTATCAGACTGTAGAATTATTAGAATTTCGGCTAGAATATCAAACTGAGCATCTTTGAATGTTAAAAGATGCAATGAACTTTCAATCTGAATTGTAGGTACATCTCAGTTGCTAAAAAAACAATTGGTCGCTCCACTTGATATTGCTTTTGAAAATCCTGCACTATGGTTCCTTGGCGGAGGTTTTATTGCTTTTCGTAGTGTTATCTAGTGCTAGCCTGGATACCATTCTCTGTAGTTACAGTTGGCTGCCTCTCTTTGCTTGCTACCTCGGCTACCACCGTGTATACGTAGCAAGCGACAAGGGAGTGCTAGCGGTAAGTACAGAGGATGGTATCCAGGCTACTCGAGATGTGTCATTGCTAAGCAGAGTGGAATGGTAGAAACCGAAGACGTCATTATATCAGACCATTCTTCCATCATGGTATTGTATCTGCATGTCCAGAAGATATGGTTAGCATGCTTCATGATAATTTCAGATGCGTTTGCTTGGCTTTACCTCATTTGCAATCACATTGTTTTGCGTAACTCTTGCCTATATAATAGCTTACACACATTTTACGCCCAAGTTGTAATTGTTTATGCCATGAACGCTGCATCAAAATTTCATCGACCATCTTGCTGCAACAACATTCCGAACATTCACGTTTTTGTAACGTAATTGAGAGCGCCTCTTGATGATAGCGTCTGAAGAAATGTTGGCGTAGCATCGTTGTAACAGCTCTTTAAAAAGTAATGCACGGGGGTGCCTCTTACTTATCTATTAGCATGAACCGCTGTCTTGCGTTTAGCAAAGCAAATTATGGTAAAGATCATTAATGACTGTTTGTATTTTGCGTTTTGCTGATATCACTGTCTTGTAGACATCATTGTCATCGTCATTGTTGGCAGCTCGACATATCAATGCGTGCGGCGGTATGTGACTCATTTTTGCAGCGCGCTAACGTTGTTATTGTTGTAACAGTTTCTGTTGCTATGCGCGAGTTGCAGTTGTTAAATTGCGTCAAGCGCACGTCGTTGCTGATCATGATACACATTGCAAATTTTCATCAAAGCATCACAGCAAAAGCGCACTGCATTTTGTTAAGCTAAATCACGATGCCACGCTGCAACACTCTCATCAGACGCCATCGTCATCAAGCTAAGTCATCGCCCATGCGCCCAAGCGCAGAAAAAAAACACAATTCACATCTGGCACTAATTCGCTTGGCGTCGTCATGGTATCAACATGAAGGAAGGCGTCATCACGTCTTCGTTGTTTTTTCTCATAGTAATAATTTTAGAAAAAAAAATCAGCTCAATCAGTCACAGGAAAGGTTTGTTTTTTTCTTTCTTTCTTTTCTCTACAGGCTCAGGAAACGATGGGGATCTTGCAGGATGAAGAAGACGACATCGTCGTCCTTGGACCAACGGAACGCAAATTCGAAAAGAACGGTAACGAAAGCATCACGGGATACCTCCGCAAGGCTACTACCACAGGAAGTGACGTCACAAACATGGATGCCGGCACATCCGCTGCGGTCCTTCAGATCAACCACAAACCAATCCGGGGGATTTTGAGACGGTCCAGCAGTGAGGGCAGCACGGGTACAAGCCACGGGAGGCGGGTACGGTTCTCTATTGAAGAAGACTACAAGGAAAACGAGAGAGACTCAGACATGGAAACGGAACTAGGCGACGTAGAAGTGGACGATGCGGAGGCAATGGGCTTCTCTTTTCTTGGCCACGATTAAAAGAGAAGGGAGGAACTGAACACTCATGAGTACATCAAGTCAGATGGGAAATTGAAAAACATCGTTATATATGATGTGGCTCAGGTGACGAAGAGGCGAACCTTGTTTAAGTTTATGTAAAGAAAATCAGCATGGAACTCGTCCGCAATGTTTTTATTTCATCCCCTCCTCTACCTCTTTACTAAAACAAGTTTACTCATTTCACGCTTGCTTCAAGAAAACTCTACAAAACTCAAAGGCATCACGATAACTGGTGAAATATCCTCTTTTTCCGTAGAGCTCGATCGCACTCGTCGTAAGATATGTTTGCTACATCAAATCAAGATCATTCTTGAAATAGTTGTAGTTGTGTCCGTACAGGGAAAAAGTTGCAATAAATCCTTCCTTGTCAAACGTTAACGGTTCGATCTGGGAATCGCACAAAAAACAATTTCCTTTACGACGAATGCGACCGCGCCAATAGCCACATTGGTGCAGTTTATTATCGTTTTCATGACAACCACGCTGGCTAGGTTCTAACTTGATAATGTACAACCAAAACAAAATTGATATCACATCATTTATGATATTAGCAAATACGTTCAGTGAATACCTATACGTTAAAAAGATTAAAGAAATACGTTGGTGCCATTATATATTATGTGAATAAATGATTTCTCTTGTGATGATCTCTCTGTCACCTCTCTCTGTGTGGCCTTACCAACAAAAAGTGCAAAATACTAAAAACGTGCTGGTCCTCAAAATCACCGATACAAACAGAAAATCCCTCTTAGATGAGAAAACGTAATTCATCAGCGTATCTATCGTGAGACCTCTTTCAAACATCCCTTAGGCATCTTGTGGGTTTATATTGCTCCGTATAGATTTATAGGTCTTTAATAAGAATATGTAAGTGGGGAAATTCATGTACTTGTCCTTGCCAAAAAGTAGCAGCAAATATTTAAACACATGAAGTTGTAAGTACAGTGTAGTACTTCTTATTGATTATATCCTTTACCTTGGTAAAGCCGCTGTCAACAAATGGCACTTCGTCTTGGTTACAAAGTTCTTGCATAGTGTTTTTGTATGACGACGTAGTTATTGATACTAAATGGACCCAATAAGAAAACTGAATATTATTCTGTCCCCCTTAATGTTAAAGAATGCAGTCTTGCTTGGAATGGTGCTACTTCAAAAATATGTATACTGCTACCAAACGTAGACAATTAACTTTAAGCACTTTACTTTGTTGGCTAAAGGCACAGAACAACCATCATTATTACTGCATTATCCTGTCATAAGATGCATCTACATTGCTTGCTATTCTGGCCCTAGAACTTCATATCCCACCATTTGAACTTAAACGGTTTTCGCCGAGTGTTGCTCCCACAGTGCACCTCGCCCAGCATGAGGTGGTAAGAGTCCCAGTCGTTGACGAAGTTGCAGGTCAGACCGAGAGGCTCCAGCTGGGACCGAACCTTCGCCTCGAACGCGCACTCGCCGCCGATCGTCGGCCCGAACGGCTTCGGGATGCCGAGCTGCTTGCCGAGGACGATCATGTTCACCATGTCGGGAAAGTACGCTCCTGAAATGAAAAGAAAATATGGTCTGCTCTGTTAATTCTTAAACACATTAATATACATGGTGTCAGGGGTCTAAATCCCTCCAGCTGTAAAATTGTAACATGATGTAACCCAACACTAGTTACCATGGTGACAGACGTCTGGTTAAGGTCATTGAAGAGGAAGAACAAAACAGAGGAAAAGACTACGTAGAATGATATTAGGCCTAACGTAGATATGGACGAGAATTTTACCTGCTTCACCACTCTCAAGCTGGAACAGTTGTGGGAGATCAATGATGTCACCTTCGTCCAATCCCAGCTCCCGTTTCATCACGTCTCGGTTCCAGTCGATGTCGTTCTAGTATTAAAAGGAATCAATTAATGTTTATATTTGAGGCCTGCTTAAGACGCAGTCGATAAAATCAGGATCGTGTGGTGTAAACATGATCAATTTGAGTTGGTTCCGCTAAGGATGGAAAAAGCGCATCTTATTGAGGAAAATACTACAATTAAATTAAATCATCAGTATGCTTTGACCTTCATTTAAAATGCATACATTTCTAATTTAATATCTGAGCAAAATATTCTCGCGTGATTTCATTCACGGAACACGTGATTTTAGCCACAGAGCACCGAATTCTCGCGTGGTTTTAGTCCACGATGTACGTGATTCTCGCGTGGTAACGGAGCACACCAGTCTCGCGAGATTTCAATCACTCAAAAACCGTACCTGGCACTGGAGATTTTCGGCCTTGAGATTCGAATCCTCGAGAAGGTCACTGATGCTCCTCTCTGCGCTTGCGCCCTCCCTGGTCCTCCCTTCAAAACACATGACGTCACCATGGCCGTCATCGTTGAGCTTGCGCAGTAGTTGGTAACAGGCGGCGGGACTGGCCAATAGGAGGCGGAAGCCCTAATAACAAAATATGTCCCAAAATGCATCTCTTTTATCAATATCATAAAATTACCAATGGTCTACATTTAGTAGCTAGTATAAGGTTAGTAAAGCTTGCGTGATTATAAACAGTATAGAACTGGCCTAACGCAACTTGTACATTTTTTGCAAGGGTCGTGTCTTTTGCCTTGATTATGAAAAACAAACATTCTAAAATATATTTTGCACCTACGATCCACACACACACACACACACACACACACACACACACACAGAAGCAGTGGGTCTCTTCATTCCTTGACAAATACTGGAGATATACAGTCGAAAATTTTGGTAGGTCCAATTACCGTTTAAATTTGCTTCATAACGATACAAACAAGCGGGCTTAAGCAACCTAGCAACAAACAAAATATTGTTCTGAATACTGAATCATCAACGAACCTTTCCGCCAGCCGCTGGGACGAAGGACATGAACTCATCAATATGGCCGACTCCCAGCCAATCAGAGAACAGCTCCACCGGGGGCTGGACCTGCTGGGCGTACAGGAAGTCCCGCACCACGCGCATCATCCGGCGGCCGTACTTGGTACTGCAGGGGGAGGGAAACTATTAAAGGCATCTAATGCAGTTTTTAGGACTTGGAAACCAGATTTTTCAAAGCCAATATTCTAGCTATTTACTTACATACTGAGTTGTAACCACACTATCCCAATGTAATGTATATTGACCGTCATGGAGTAAAAATTCCCCAAATTCTGATGGAAAATGGTTACTGGAAGGGCCATTGGCTGAATTTTAGGGTACCACCCAGAAAATAAAGAACTCATCTTGGGGCTTGTTTCTGAAGTTTTAAATGCCCAAAGTATAAAATGCTGATTTAAATGTGCTAATTTGAAGTAGTATGTGTCAATATCACAAAGATTGCCTTATTCAGAATATTTCCAGTTTTGCTGCCCTGAAATCGCATTGGGTGCCTTTAATCTCCAAGTAGATCCTAGAGTGGCATAAGACAGTATCAAATTGGCCAGGCAGTATCCATTGGCCAGAGAGGGCCCAATACTCCACCCTTGCCAATGAGATCATGAGATCCCTATCATTAGAGATCCATTAGAATGCAGTCCACAATTGCCATAAAAGTTTGATTGGAAGAAAAACGAAGCTAATAGGTTACTTTAAGAATCACCAGGAGAAAACAAGGACATTCACACAGACACACACACACACACACACACACACACACACATACACACAAATAAACACACACATACACACATAGACTATCATGAGATTGCTACCATCACAGATCCATCTATGGTATTAGAATGATGATGAAGTTCACAATCGATTTCACAGTAAAAGTTTATAAAAACAAGTTTCTTCAACAATGAGGCGAAGAAACCGTACGTAGGAAAGGCGGAGCCCAGCAGGATCCTCCCCATGGGGTACGTCCTGCCGTTGACCTTGACAGGAGGGCTGACCTCAAGGTTACCGAAGGAGTCGAGAGAGTTCACGAACTCGTTCTGGTCATACCTGGTGACGTACCCGAAATCTTGGCCCTGAAATATATGGGAAAATGTATTTTGCGGTTGTTCAACGTACAGGATAATGTATTTAATAGTATATACCAATGTTCAAGGATAACATTAATGTTGGTTACTTTGGAATTTAAAAACTTTGTTCTACTTGAAGACTTTATCTTGATACCTCATTTTGGTGTTACCCTTTGGAACAAAAGTTGTTCCCTGTGTGTGTATAATTGTGGCAATAGGCATTTCTATCGTATATACATGTCACAAAAGCTATCTAGCCCATTTACAATAACCAATGTCTTTTATGTGTGCCTTAAATGTGACTTAAAGGAATAAGAATTTTGAGATACCAGCAACTTCCCCTTGGGGAATTTCTGCAGGCCGCGGTCACGTGGTGAGTCCAGGACGACGGGCATCGGCTTTTTTCCGGGAAGTTCCGAGTAGCCGAGCTCGATCTCATCCTGCAAACAACAATTTCAGCGTTTAGACAAGATACAAGGCAGCATGACTCATGGCCCTTTATACATTAAAAGGTATCAAAGATCAATATATGTACAGTATCATAATATATATGAATGTTGATAATCAAGAATATCATCACGACTCGAACTGCATGCATCCTTGCTGTCATCTAGCTAGCTGAAGGAGTGGTAAAGTTCATTCAGGCCAGAGGAAGTTTATGGCGAAATTCTGGCTCGTAAAACTTTCAGTTTGTACTATCAGAAACTATTTTGCCCAGGAAGCTTTGAAGTTTGATGACATGAAAAAAGGACATTCAGTGATGATTCAGGTATATGATTCATAGTAAGCAATAATGAAAAGTGCATGGAAGATGTTAATACTGAGGACACACTGTACCTCCTGAATGAGCAAAGTTGTCGATCGTCTCTTATACTACTCACCTGCATCCAGCGGTCTCCCCTGTTCTCGTATGGCGGCACGATGTTCAGCTTGATGCCGGCGGCTTCCGCGACTAACTTCAGGTCGTGGATGAAGTCCAGGTTTTCGCTCCCCTTCATCCGGCAGGTGAAGGCTTCCAGGGGCTCCAGGGTGTTGGGAGTCATGATCCACGGTGCCAGTCGGAACATCACAGTGTCCTCAAACACTGGGACTGAGACGTTCTGGGTACATCATCGAGAATAGTTTGCAATGCAAATGCATAATGTTACTTTTAAGTTTACATATGGTCTGCTCTGCAATACTCAAATGCATTCATATATATGGTCAGACAGGAGTATAAATCCCTCCTACTATAAAATTGCAACATGATGTAACCCGACACCAGTCACCATGGTAAGAGACGGCTGGTATCTTTTTTTTTCGCCAGCCTAACTTGGGTAGCAAATTGTAACTGTCCGGCAAATGGATACAGCCTGGTCAATTTTAACTGTCTTTGCAGCCACCGAAAGATCTGCTTGGAGATGACAAATATATCATATGTCATATGAGTATACTTTACCTTGAGAAGACTGAGGTGAATCCTTAAGGTACCGTCGAAGCCCCTGTCCGGATATTTCAGCCCCTCCACTGCGAACAGCGTCTCTCCCTTGTCTCCGTTCATCATCAGGCCGTAGGAAATCGTCTCCAGGTGACCCGCCTTCGGCCCGATGATGTGTTTGTTATATATGTCATCACCCAACACTTGGGGGAAACACATGAAATTATGAAGAAAAAAAACATTCATAAGACAACCTAACAGAAATCGGTGATTTTAGACCCTTTGAAAGTATTCGGATTCCCTAATTCTGTTGCAACTCTGGGGGAGATTGTATGTTGTTATCTAGGCAGATATTACACACATTTTACAACTTCCCGAAGAGCTCTATGTACCACCATTGTCACAAATGGCTAATACACCAAGAATCACCAGAATCACTTACAAGACAACCTGAATGTAAGAAAAAAGTGAAAGAAGACAGAATAGTTTTCTGAATGCATTCAACGTCCCATTTGAAGGCAACAACTGTCATTTACATCATGTTTGAGTTTATTAATCAAAGTAAATCATTGATATGAAGGCAACCTACCTACTCCTCCTGCCCTTAGCTCTGTCCGGAACAACATGCAGAATGGTAAGAAAATCATCAACATGCGGAGCATTAATACATTATAAACTGGATATGAACATGTGCAGTGTAATAGATAATGTATGTAGATTGTGAGATATTAGTTGTTACATTGATGAGCGATAATAACGCGTTGATCAGAAACACATGCATATGGATGTGAATACTTATGAAACATCACGATCAATGAGTGCTTATCACAACCAATGTTCATTTAGATATGGCGAAAGAGTGTGCACCAAAGATTAATGTGTGATATTGCATTGTACAAATCAACAAACGTAGCCTATACATAGCAACAAGTATGCACAATTTGTCAGACATCTACTACTGTATCCCATAAGCTGAAGTGTTGTAAGCCATTTTACAGTTACAAGTGCGCATGGGTAGTCGTGATACCTTGTGGTCTAAGGTCAAAAGCCTCTGGACATTCTTTGCCTCTATGTCAGGGGTCCTAAACTTTGACCTTAGACCACAATGCATTGCGACTTCCCATGCGCACATGGAACTGTGGAGTAGCTTATTAATTAGTCTATATTTACGTACTCTGTATGTCGCTGAGGTTGAAGATCCCCAGACGTTCCTTGTCGTCAGGCCGGACCCACATGCGCAGTACACAGTCCTCGGGAAGCGACTCCGGGCCCCTGACGCGCAGCACCATCCTACTCATGTCCTCAAGGTCTGTATTAAAGGTAAAGACGATTAACCTTCTGCCTACTGCCTGCCTATATGCACAGGCCAGGTACTGGCCCTTTGGTCCCCTCCGTCAGGTTCTTCCAGCCAGCTCTATCAAGGGCCTACTGTAGTACCCCGTAAATACTATAACTACAAAATTGAATCCAAATTGTTTCATTTGGTAGAAGAAGTTTAATTGATAAGCTTAACGAATTATACAAATAAACAAGACCAATAGAAAGGGGTATGGTGTATTCTGTATGGAACTAGAGCATGGTTGATCCATGAAAAAATATCCCAACGTTTCTGAACTGTCAGTGTGTCGAATTTCGTACATAGGTCACCATATTGAATAGCTGATGCTTGCATCTCAAAGAGGTTCCTGATGTGACACACACATACAAGTTCACAAAACGTTATATTGCCCCCTTCCCTGTTAGACGTTTGCATGTTAGCCATGTACTGGACAGGTATAAATGCGGTGGGCTCACCGAAGGGTCCGTCTATCTTGCTGTTCTTGTTCTCCGGGTCCATCTCCAGCTGGTAGTCGTCACAATCGTTATTGACCAGCAGGATGGCGCCATGTCCGTCAGGACCCCACTGCCAAGAACCCTGGGCGTGCAAAAAGTGTTGTGAGCAACTTAAAAATTATCAAAATCTTAATTGCAAGGACACATGCAGTAGGTATTCTATAGTTATAATGAAAAAAAAAGCGTTCCATAGGTATCTGTGAGTGCAATGAGAGCAAAAACATTCATACTTGATGAGAGAAACCATATCAAGAAAACAACCTTATTTGGGTTGCTGTTGTCGACATGTTACTGACCTTATTTGAATTGTTGTTGCTGAACGTTACTGACCTTATTTGGGTTGTTGTTGACCGTTACTGACCTTATTTGAGTTGTTGTCGAACGTTACTGACCTTATTTGGGTTGTTGTTGTCGAACGTTACTGACCTTATTTGGGTTGTTATTGTCGAACGTTACTGACCTTATTTGGGTTGTTGTCGAACGTTACTGACCTTATTTGGGTTGTTGTCGAACGTTACTGACCTTATTTGGGTTGTTGTTGTTGAACGTTACCGACCTTATTTGGGTTGTTGTCGAACGTTACTGACCTTATTTGGGTTGTTGTTCTCCACGACCCCATCTCTGTCACAGTCCACGTCAAGGGACAGGTAAAAGGCTGTCATGCGCAGTGTGGCCACGCCGATAGTGTCTCCAGTCTTGTCCACGAACAGAAAGTTGACCTGGAGAAAAAACGCCCAAGTTTTACTTCCAACTTAACAATAACAGTTACCATTGTGACAGACAGGAGTCTAAATCCCTCCTACTATAAAATTGCAACATTATGTAACCCAACACCAGTTACCATAGTGACAGACGGTCATTGACCTTATTGGTTTGGAGAAGAAGAAGAGGAGGAAACAGAGCAAAAACAATATGTTTTCCTTTCGGTAAACACAATAAATTAAAAAAAAATCTACCTCCTTGTCATCGATCGTGGAGCTGTGAGTGGCGACAGAAATGTAGGCCACCATCTTGGTGACTCCGCCGTTGTCGGATGACTCATTCTTCGTGCTGACTGTGATGTCACCTTCGTGGCCAACCACGGTGTGAAACGTCACCGTACCCTCCGGGGTGATGCTGGGAAATCAAGATGGCGGTTCAAAATGGCGGCACACTTGAATGTCCTTGACTGATTAGTCAGAAGTAATATTAAAAGAGACATTATCATAACATGGCTGAAACATTACACTTTGTTCATTCTAGTTGCAGTTCGTTCAATTCCTAATTGGAAAGCTGTTTTCCATCTTTTCTAACTCTTGCTTATAAGAAATTAAATGCCCTAAATGTAGTCAAGAATGTTCTAGACGACATGCCAGTTGCACGTTTAAGATATGTTTAAAATCGTTAAACGCATTCTCTGTACATTCAGTACTTCAACAGTACATTTTCATCAAATTAAATCTGTATATGATTAAGATGTGTTAACATTTAGATTCTTGTGTAGCCAACAGTTTTTCACCAATTTGAAAGGTCTTTGCAACACCGTTTGTTAGAACTACGTGTATTAATGATGGTATTCGATAGACGGCGCTTTTAAACCACCAGACCTCGCCAAACTGACAGGTGCCGTCTTTGAAAGGTCAAGGGTCAATTCTCGTCCACTGTCGCCAACAACAATGTAGAAGGCCTCAGCCTCGGTGGGAGAGAAACTGAAAGATGAATTCTGGTTGGTAGATGAATGAGCCAATCTGATTGGCTCATCTTCCTACCAACTGAATGGCGCGAAAGATGGAAAAAGAGATATTATTTCAAGTCGTCTCCGCAAAATAGGTATTATTTTCAAACGTACATGGTAGTACAAATTCATAAATACAAAATTACCTGAACTTCGTAAAATTCCATCACATTTTAACGAAGAAAAGATGAAAACGAATAAAGAATGAAGTTTGATACTGTTTTTTTACAGCCACCCAAAGATCTGCCATATTCCAGAAACAGTGACAACCAAGGGTTTAACGTAGCCTTAATTATGCGTACTTTGTCTAAATGACCTGTACTCAGCTGCATAATTACAAGGTTCACCAACAGCTCTTAGCTCAATAACTGAATTTGCGAACAAATTACTATACTTAAGTCATAAACGAAACACCTTTTTTTCGCCATGCAGACAAGTAGAATAGTTATTTTCCTATGTTCCTCAGCACTATCTTTATACTGTATACGAACAACTCTATATCTAGACCAATTGCACAAGACCAAAGCAGTAAGCATAGTTTACAAAACATTTTAAAACCAGTGATTCATTCCCAGTTAACATTTTGACTTAAACATCAAATTATGTATGAAGTTCATGAAGGTGTTTTTTTTTGCCTTTAACATCCTTCGCTCGCCACTACTATAACATTTATTTTTTTTATATTCCGAAACATGCAATCACAAGACGTGGTGACGGCACACTCAAGTTTTTTTTTCAACTTATATTAATGCCGCCACCAGCACAGGGACAGTACAATACTCATTTACACCTGAGCGAAGTGAGGAAAGTCGTGTAAAGTGCCTTTCCCAAGGGCACAAGATCGGTGGCATGTCAGGACTCGAACCCGGGGCCTCTGGTTCCGAGTCGAGAACGCTGCCGCTACGCCACACGACCCCACTACTATAACATTTTCTTGCCTGTCCCTTGATACTAAGAGAAAAATTTGTCCAGAATCTCGACCGACAAGTGCACTGCTGTTTTTGGCCAAAGCCAGCCTTGAGCAATGATGCCTTTAATCTTAAAGTGTTGTGTTTCCAGACAGGAATTTTTCCCATTAGTGCCTTGCTTAGGGGCCCGTTCAGCAGTTTTAAGCAATAGCTGAATTGAGTCTTTTGAAATGTCAACTATTGGCAAGGCACATCCAGTTACTACCAACGCCAGCTTGTTCAAATTACAAGGGCTGATACAACTGCAGACACCACACTCTCACAAATGCACACATTTGAGTCGTAGTAATCTTGTCAGATACAGTAAGTAGACACGAGAATGTAGCTTAAGCGCTTGTGTATACATAGAAATGCCAGGACCCATACGTGATAGCTAACATAATATAGCACCATCCCCCACCGACACACACAAAAACTAACAAATGCACAAATTTGACCTGTAAAAGCCTTGTCGGATACGGTAGGGAGTCACAACAATACACCCAGTGTCTGTATGTAAATAGCGATGTCAAACTGATTTCGCTAAGGCTAACACAATTAAACGGCCCCCCAGAAACCCACACAAAGACAACCATACATTTGACTTATAGTACCCTTGTAGGAGATACGGTGCTTACACACAACAATGAAACAAGCACAGATCTAGACACATTATATGCATAGCACAGGTAACATGAATACAGCTACGTGTTAAACTCACACGTACACCAGGTACAGGTCCGATCACAACTTTTTATGGCTCATCTGAACACCTGTTGTTAGATCATTCAATTATTTCACGGGATTCAAGGAAAGACGGTACAAATTGATAATGCTTTCTTATAAGAAAAAAATAGAAACTCATGATAATTCCCACTCAGAGTATTTAAGACGTATGCTGGCCCTTAAGCTCATTATTCAGGATGTTAAGTCTATGAAAACCTCTATTTTGTTCCATGAGTTGCACCATGTGCGATTGCCGTGTAACAAAGTTCTTATAGCAATGGCAACTACCGCATAGCCACAGCAACAAGACATATCTTTTCATCGATAAACCATGAATATATAGGTTTCCATATATTGATTCTTTCACTGGAGTCATCAGCTGTCTAGAGTCACGTATTCGCTCGCCCCAGATGACACAATGTGCCGGGAAAATCCGCCCGATTATAATGCAAACAAGGCTTCTAAATTAAAAGCATCCGCTGAAACATCATGAATATAGCACCTGCACGTTCGCACCAAAACAGACCGACACAAACTCAAGCCTAAATAGTGGTGCAATACATTAAAATCGACAGCATGCAAACATATGGTGGGAGTGATTCTCAGTCAAGGCTGCTCTGAGTTACTTACCTACTGAGGTCCGTACACAGGGTCTGCCCCAGTACGATGATTTCGCTGGTCGCCAACCCGACATCCAACCGGACAGTACGGCAATTCGCTGCCCACTGCATGAAACCACGTCCCGCCATCCCTTCTCAGACGATGCCTATAAATCTATAAAGACAACAGAGGGGATCGACCGGCTGCTGTTTTGGCAGCGGTTTCTGGGGTTGCGTCTTTCCCCGTCTGCTCGCGGGTCAAGTTTGCGTAGGAGTCCTTTTAAGGAGGTGTGCGGTACGAGTCAGTATTTCTGGTAGGCAAGGAGGCGGGCATGTGTGTTGGGGCCGTACCATGTTCACCAAGGGGGTGGCCACGTAGTCTGAGGGACCATTACTCAGTGCTTTAGTGCTGTCCTGTCGGCAATTTCAATCTGCTGCAGTTCTTTCTTTGATCGGTAGACGTCTATATAGCAGTTAATGTATAACTACACTGTAGTATGTTAAAGACACCCGACTCATTGAATCTTCATGGATCGCTGAGCAAAAAAAGATACGTCCATCATGTTTGTTGCAATTGATGGGGATAAGAAGTTATGAAATGTCATTCCTCAAGCTAACTGACATCTTGCACACACAGTCGTCCCTCAGTAAGACATCCGGAGCCGCATAGTTCCCGTTTAGAACTTTTATTCAGCCTGTACATCAAACTGTTTTACGTTTTTGCAAGAAACGTTTTAAGTTAGAATTCATCATCATTAATGCCTCTATACACATTGCATCTATGACCTTGTTTACAAATTTTTGAATTTGAAAAAAATTACAAAATTTGGTAGATTATAGGTCTGTTTTGAAGACGCTTAATTATCAGGTGATCTTTACTTGTAGGCACAATCTCTAATACTCACATATAATTACCGCAAATTACAATTAGGTAATTAAGTAATGTTTTATAACTTTCTTCATTATGTTACAAGTGTAAAATCTTTTACAGTTCAGGTCAACTCTGTCTTAATACCACACACCCACTATGCGGCAATTTTTTATTCGAGGTATCAATTGTAATGTAATGATTAATTAAATCTTAATTGAAAGAGAAAAAGTTAAAACTGTCAATGTAATTCCATGCTACAATTGTTTACCTCTAAACGTGGCGTCTATTGCCTCACACATTTTCACTCTTCTAAACAAATGTACTCCCCATAAACATGTCACATTGATTCCTTTGCATATTCATTTTAAAAATCCGTTAAATGTCACAAGTACACATGCTAAGTTTTCGCAAGGTTTTAGAGCAGATTTTTTCTTTAGAGCTAAGTTTTTCTTTATGGTGCTTTAAAAGAAAAAAGTCATGATAACATTAAAAATGTCAATTTGTACCTTTTACTAAGTTTGTACGTTTCACCTTAAAGTTTTGTATATCTCAATGGACCGTCTATGAAGCCCCCTCTAACCTGGTATCCAGTCTGATCGTGATTGGGGCACAGTGAGAAGGGGCAGGCTGTCTTCGGGGCTCTAATAGTTTCCCTCCGCCCAGTACAACAGGCCGCCCGGTATGAGTGTTACGCTAATAGAGTTTGGCACGCCGGGGACTTGATTGCCCCACCACGAATAATCAAATTGCTGTCGTGAAAAACCTACCGGGGGACCCTAGCTCAGGCGGACGGCGAAGAGCTCCTGCAGCCCCGAAGAAAACCCGCCCAACTACGATAGACTAGGTACCAGATTAAGCCCCCTCAGCAGTGGTGAGACGTTGTCAGTCCGGGGGAGACCATGAAAATGGGCGATGGGAGATCCTTCCGTCGCCTAGGCCGTACAGGTACATTCTGTAGAGTAAAGGAACGAGAAACATTTTCAGGTATGAGACGTTTTAGATAGTTTCAAAGATATTGGTACATGAGTAGCTTAGTCTTTATTACTTAAAGGTACGGAAGAATATTGTTTTGGCCAGCATGTATATGGGTTTGCGTGAACTTATTCCTACTAGACAGAGTAGGTCGACAGCAAGTGAATGATATTCAGGATGACAAGAAGACCAACAGGTCAGACACAGGAAACGGAGTAAGCTTGAAGGTGCCATTGGTACTGGGACTTCCGGAAGCCAAGAATTGGACGAGCACCTTTCTGTCCTACCTAACCCTAACCCTTCGGCTGCCCCCATACATTTATGGAAACGTTCCAGAATTTTTAACATACTAGAAAAGATTTAAAGATAAAGTATGTTTAGATAATTTACCTGAAACGACTTGACAGGTGAAACGCAAACGACTGGTGCATTTATGGCATAACCATACTCCTGGTGGCCTGTAAGGTCCTCTGCTCGAGCTCTCAATGTGGAGTACGATGTAAGAAACGCAATTTCCTCCTTCTCTTTCAAAAGAACAGGCGCGCTTGCCTTCTTCAAAGTGTCGCTGAGCCCATGTGCCGTGCGCACCCAGGGAGGTACCATCCATCCACTCAAACTTCTCGTCTTGGTTCCGGTCATGCAGCCCGATCCAGACGCTCATCCACTGACCATTCTGGGATATGTTGACCAGGAAGTTGTTGGTCTCCTGGTCTCGAGGCATGGCGAGGGTGCCGCCGTCCTTGCGACAGGTCTCGGCGGCTTCATTGAAGGACTTCAATGTATCAAACACCTTGTAGCAGAGCCCACGATACCTGGACTGATAGCCTTCTGGACAGGATGCTGAAAAAGAAAAATTTTTATAAGTAACAAAAGTAATGACCCAAGTTCATACTATGCCTAAAACTGAAATGGACCAAACTTAAGCACTGCCATAGAGTGAAAAAATTGTACTGTATCTGTATAGCCGATATATCCCTCGTTGGGCAGAGTACTCAATGTTCAAAACACGGTATTCCATATATATGAACAATTTTCCCTTTTAAGCATATAAATATATGCACAAAGAAACGAATGAATTGCGACACAACGTAGGAATCACGATCGCTAAAGATACAGTTTGTTTAGACGCGATGAAATAAATGCTTCACCTGAGATCTTGCCTCCTGTGAGTGTTTGCAGTTGTCCATGTGGACCAGTACTGCATGAGTTTCCAGGCGGACCGGGCGGACCGACAGGCCCAGCTGGCCCCATCGCTCCCTTTTCTCCAGGAGGCCCGGAAGGCCCGGTAGACCCGCGGCAAGTCGGACCCATGGCTCCCTTTTGTCCAGGAGCTCCAGTTTCCTTTGATGGTAAAGGCGGTGTGCAAATTTCTGGAAAAAAAGTTGGATGGTTAAGATGAGCAATTGAATGAACAAATGTCAGTGTTGAATAGTGTGAATGAATGAATGAATGAATGAATGAATGAATGAATGAATGAATGAATGAATGAATGAATGAACGAATGACTGTTTATTATCGTGCCATTGCGGTCAATATGCCGCCCAGCCCATATGGGCTTATAAGGCACCGACAAAATACAAAATCAAAACAAATCAAAAGGTACAGAGAATCAGATATAACATAAATTATAACTTAACATAATATATAATAAATACAGGAAATTAAGTAGTACTGGTCATATACAGAAATCAAATCAAATGTAACATAGATGATAAATAATAATAATTTAGGTTCAACCAAAATTGATAATGGATAAAAGTAACAAGAGGTAACTGTCACATGACTGTTACATACAGAGAACCAACTTAACAGAAAAGTGAACAGGTAAACGTAGCAAGTAGTGTGAGTGTTGGATATAGCGTTTTCACAAAGTTTCCCTATCAATAAAGCAAACTGGCCGCCATGTTGGTGTCCTTGATTTGAATTTCGATGATGTTTCCTCACAAAATGTTGTTGTTTTATCGGCACGGTTTTACGTATTCGTCTGCGTTTTCTTCTCAATACACGCATAAGACAGGTTATTTCAAATGGTCAGAAAAGTTCTTCCGAAAACGCTTGAAATACGATTCAATAAATTGCAAATAGCTGCCCCCCCCTCCATGATAGTGTCCGTATGACGTCACGTGAGTGTCTAATTTTTTACCTCCATGAAAAATGGAGGTATTGTTTTTGGCGTGTCTGTCTGTATGTATGTCTGTGTGTGTGTCTGTCTGTGTTTCCGCAACTTTGTAGTCAGCATAACTTCAGAACGTCTTTATGGATTGTTATGATATTTGGTATGATGGTAAGTCTTGGAAAGACAAAGGTCAAGGTCAAGTATGGGCCTCCTAGTGGATGACCTTGGTACTGCAGCAGAACTTCCGGTTTTTGTATCTTTTGTCCTGAACAAGCTATGGTCTTGACTTTTTGGTGACAGATAGCTTATCCTGTCAGAAATAAGTGGCGTAAGTTTGGTTCCCCTAGCAGCTTGTTCTGGAACTGCAGGTTAGTTTCTGGTAAAAACTTTCAAAGCCAATAAGTCCAGATTGGAACAACGTATTTTCATCATTTTTGGTGTGTAGGTACCTGAGAGACAGTTGTACATGATTAAATGCAAATTATGCAAATGAGGACTTAATTTGCATAATTATTGAGGAAATTCTATAATTACAGTGTTTCATATAATGGTATTGCTATACATGTAATCTATTTAATCTGTGGCAGGCGGAACATCAACAGATGCAAATGATGACCTAATTTGCATAATTAATGTGAAAATTCTGTGAATCCTTATTGGTGAATGATGGGAATTTTATACCTCGTATCATGTGTAACTTACTTAAAGGTATGCATCGCTATGCATATATTATGTTAATGTAGAGGTAATTGCATAATTAATGAGGACAAAGCAAGCCCATATTTCATGGAGGTATGAGATCTCGGAACTCTTGTTTTAAATTTGCAATTCAACATGGATAATACAGGACATGGTGGTGATTTACTCTAGCTGTAGCTAATTTTAACCTCACTACCAGACATACAGGTATACAGTGACAAAACACATGTCAAAAAACAACAGAGAACAGCAAATGGGTGGAAATGGATCAATAAGTGGTAAGTTAATGGTGTAATGACACACTACTCACGTTCCAGCTCGGTCACACGCAGCTCAGCCATCTTGAGCCGGTTTCCCATCTCCAGATAATGCCTCGCCGACTCATACGACTGGGTTCTCACTTCAACTGCATTAAAGCATTAAGGCAATGTTTCCATTACAATTTCAGGGCGTCAAAACTGGATTTCAAAGTCAATCTTTGGACATTTTTAGTGTAGTAAATTGAATCAATCCTATCCCACCGCATAGGCCCTATCTGTGAGGCAAAAAAGGTTTTATGGTACTTGTATCTACTAGAAAAAAAGGAGTAAACTTGTTCACACAACCCAACATTAATTATCAATATGGTTACTATAATCTGCTAACCGTATTCGGCTTAATTCTTTTTAAATGTTAGAACAGATTTTGTGACAATAGCCATGCACTGCATTTAAACGTGAATTATAGTTGCTACGTTTTAGAACGCTGTTAAATCTTGAGTAAAGAAACTGACCTGCCAGATACGGTAACAGGACGCAGACGACCACAGATAAAGCTATGCCGGTGATCTGCAAAATCTTCCTGCCCAGACCCCGACATTTGGTCTTTTGGTTCGCTTCTGCATCATTGGCTGCGTCTGTTAGAATTGAAAAAAAAAAGATCCTGTATATTTCTAGCTACATTCCAAAGAAGAGCAGGTGGTAAGAATGCTTTTCTGTTTGTCTGCTTGCAAGGCAAGGCAAGTGGTTACCTGCTCTGGAGACGTACATAGCGTTGGGTGTGCTCGCACCTGCGTCCGCAAGTGACCTCCAATCAGTCTGGGACTGTTGCATGGGTGTGGCGTCTGGAGCAAAAAAATAATAAACTTCTTTCCTTACTCTTTCTCTGTCTGCCCTTTTCTCCATGTTGTTAGCTTTATTGACGGTCCCTTTTTTATGCCAAAGGTTTCTTAGCTCGGTCAAGGTAAAGAGGCAAAATAAATGATATCATATGGTCAATTATGTCACATATGTAGAAAGTATATAGCCTACATTATACGTAACGTGTACACCGGTTCAGGAAATTTAGTATTCGCACAGCCACAGCAAGGCAAGGCATGCAAACGTTTGGTACATGTACCTGCTCTGGAGACGTACATAGCGTTGGGTGTGTTCGCAGCGGCGTCCGCAAGTGACCTCCAATCAGTCTGCAACTGCTGCATGGGTGTGGCGTCTGGAGTGAAAAAATAAACATTTTACATTTAGCACTAGCAAACGATGCGATGTAATTTGATCATCTGATTTTCCATTTCAAAATGTCCGAGAATATAACTTTTTTCCCAAATTCGCACAAAACTAAAACAACATTACAGCGTAATAATACAATATAAAAAAGGCTGAATTACGGAGTTTCAGGTAATACACAGTTGTACAAAATATCAATATTCAAAAACATAACCAAAGCATGGAACCCTATAGCGTGATATTGGGGGACATCAACCTGACGTCCACCAATAAAATAGCATTTAAAAAAGAGCATTCAAAGATATGAACTGCTATTTAAATCACTTCACGATAATACTTATCGCACCCGGCAAACTGTACTCTTTAGCGGACCAACTCCCCCGGCATGTTATCTCTCTATTTGGCGCCGATTTCTACTCTTTCAAGCCGCCCCCCGAAGCCTGGTAGAGACTACACTACCTCCTGTATCTCCTGTCTGGGTTTGCTGTTGCCCTCCAGGCATCTTGACTCGATCTTGTCAGGTTTTCAGGCAGTAAAAAAAAAACACGTCCTACACCAAGCAAGTCGCTCCTCAGTCTGAGCGCTTGGCAATTTACGTTTCGCCCACTCTTCATACAAAATTTACATTATCCAATCACCATACAGCACGTAACGTTACTTCAATCAGATTGTTTCTCGATTTTTCGATGATTTCGAGACCCGAAGCCGTTTCATCTTTGCTTCGCGAAATTAAAAACAAAAGATGAAAAACGAATTGTGTAGGCGTTATTAAACATTACTCTTTGTTACAAACAGAGTGATTATACACATTGTTTTGGTCGCTAGATATGAAAAAGGATTACAAATTATTATGAATCTCCAGCTATGCCGTTAAGTTTCTTGGAAAAAAACGTTTTTCAGTCTGTTTACCATGCATAAATGAAGTAGTTCCATGGATCTACTAAAGTTCAAACGTTAAATGTTGCCGCCATGATGGTTTATTTGAATAGGTCAAAGTTCAGATGCTAAAGGTTACGTCATGCAGGTGTGCTACAATACAGGTGGGTTCCGCCCAATTTTCTTCACGTAAACAAACTTGCCAAATGCGAGTAGTTTTTCGTGCCGTGTACATTTGATGCCGAGAGATTGCACATCATAGTACCGGTAGGTGACAGTTGTTTATGGTACTATTCTTCAAAGGGTTTTGGTTAATGGCCGGTATATACGACTTGATTATTGCTGCAATACTCCCGGGCCCCCCTCCCCACTTCATTCATAATTTTCGTCATCAAACACATTGAATGTAGCCTGTACCAGGCACCGCGGATCGCTGGAAAAAAATAGTAGAACTTGGCCGAAAGAAAGGGATAGTATACCAGGAGAGTTATTGTAATTGGAGCCACTCTAGCCGGTAGAGGCTCCATTGAATGGTTACACGTACGTCATGTACAAGCATTGTATATATAAAATGCCAGGAATGACTGACCGGCCCTTTTATCACATATGTACGCTTTCTAAAATTATAACAGCAGATAATTTGTTTTTCTGAATGCAGGTAAAACAATGTTTTATACTCGGGCGTTATTTGGGCGAAGATTCAGTGGTCTTGTCCGGCAATGTTCCACGTCTAGCGGGGGTGGGTCTCGCTGGTCTAGGTACGCCTCGGGTGCGGGTGCCGCCATTGCTACTGGGGCGTCTCTGGTGGCGATGTACTCAGCTTACGAGTCAAGAAGAAATCTTGTGGTGCAGAAGAGGAAAGAATTCGGCCGAGCCTTTGCAGAACTCCAGGTATTGAAGGGGGCTGCGAGCCTTTTTGAATTTTGCCAATATTAAGGTGTGTGTGTAATCAAGTATTGTTTTACTTTTACGTCACACACACACACACACACACACACACACACACACACACACACACACACACACACACACACACACACAAACACACACGTATTGGCACAAGTGTGTACTACACACACACACACAGACAGAAATATACAGAGAGACAGAGAGAGAGACCGGCACACAGAGAGAGGCAGAGAGACATACACAAAGAGACAGACAGACAGACACAGAGAGAGAGAGAGACAGACAGACAGACACAGAGAGAGAGAGACAGACAGACAGACAGAGAGAGAGAGACAGACAGACAGACAGACAGAGACAGATAGACACACACACACACACACACACACACACACACACACACACACACACATACATTGAAGCAGGCACACACTGACACACACGCAATGCATGTACATGTACACACATAAACACACAGACACACGTAGACACACGCATACACACACATTTCCCTGTGTGTTTCAACAGGACGTTGCCTTTGTTTATGATACAGGACGATTACTACACGAGTGAAATGCACCAGGCCATGAGAAAACTCTATGCCTTGAAGAAAAAAGCTGAGAACGAAGGCCGGAGCTGGGATGACGTGTGTGGGGAGTGGGCTGCTGACGATCTGACCTTCGCCTTATCACCTGTTGAAAAACCCTCGGTAGAAAAACAGGTGTGTAAAAAGTCATCTTCTGTCTAATGGCATCTCTTTTTCTCCTTTAGTTGCAACAATTGATTCCTGCCCCTTCCCCTCTGCAAGGAGGTTTAAAGCTTTGCCCTCTGTCTCTTTTACACCTAGTCTCCTCCCTCTTCAACTCTTCGAAGTACTCTCAGCAGATCTTTCAAATACTAGTAGTCAAGGATTACAGAAGCTCAAGCCGTATATACCCTGTAAACAGCACGTTTTTTCGTATATTCTTTCATTAAATATCGGAATATATCATAAAATAAGAATTCATTACACACAAAAAAAAAATATTCAAAAGACCCTTTCTAATATAATATTAATGTTATTCTTTTTCCCAGATCCGTAAGGAGGAGGTTGAGGAGATAGAAGAAGCCAGAAGAAAGTGGAGCGCCTTCTACAACAAGTTCCGCTCCCTCTACAAGCGGGGCGTCATCTCTGAGGAGGATGTAAAGCTCTATCATTTCCCGAGCGACACTCAAATGAAGGGCTATATCTCCGTAGTAGATGCACTAGAACATGCCGGCAGTGTCATATATGTCGGAAACGACCACAAGTACATTTCCAATTACACACAAGAAAAGGTTGCAGGGTTTTTGGACACAACTTTCCTCGATGGAAAATTTGCTCCTTCTAAGGATAAACTACAGAAGAGGAATGAGAAGTACTTACAGCTGAGGAAAGAAGTGATGGAAAAAGTACAAGCTACTAAAGTAAAGTAAAAGCTTAAGAAGAGAATTAATTTTTTAAATGATGGGAAATGATGAAAATGTAAGCTGAGAAAAGAATGCAATAAAGCCCTTCTTAGCTTCCTTGTTTCCGTATCTGTGAAGGTAAACATAATTAGGGAGACTGGCTTTATATTATTGTTCCTGCATACATGTTACACGCTATACTAAAAGTTTAGATACTGCCGCCATTGTGGTTTATCTGGATAGGTCAAAGTTCAGATGCCAAGGGTTACGCCTGTTAGGTGTTGCAACAGGTGGTCGCCGCTCAAAGTCATTTGCCAACGTCAACAAATGCCGTATGCAAGTACTTTTGTGTTTATCTTATATGTGTTTGAAGACGGGACAATGCATATCATAGTGGACTCTGCTTGGTTTTTCATCTTTGTTAAGATTTTTTTACCAGACTACCTGCAAGCTGTTGTGTTACGCCGAGGGGTGGTTGTTTTATCTACTACTAGTATTTCCGTGTTATACATACATACATTTTTGGACAAATCACACACCACTGTGTAAGAACGCTACCTAGCGAGATAAAAGGGAGAAACACAAATTCTAGCGTTAGCCAGGACTCGTTCCCTGGGCACGAGATCAGGTCAAAGGTTATCAGTTAATATGGCGGCCGCAGATTATGATTAGCGTAGATTTGATCAACAGGAAAACGCGAGAAAACACAGAACTATGAAATCATATCCCTTTTCCTGCCGGATTCCGAAGTTCCTGAAGTTACAGAGGGTGTAGACTCATGGAAGAAACCGTCCACGCAGCATTCTCAGCGCTCAGAAGACAGGGTAAGGAAGGATTTTTGATGCGTTTTACGTACGTTTGTCAAAAAAATTGTTCTGGAGTAGTTTGATCAGAATCGTAAACATTTCTGATCAGGAATTTTACACTAGAAAGTCACTTTCGAAGAGAGGAATACGAAGCCACGATTTGAGAAGTAAAATGAATATATAAATTTTGTAAAAACGGGTTTTCATGTCGTATTTCTATACCACATTTATATACCACGAGATGATTAGAAATTCAAATGTGGGGCAATTTTAATCTCCAAGCAGATATGGGGTGTAACTTAGATCGTTCACCTTTTCTGACTCCCGGGCCCAACTTTGTAGTCAAAAGCTTTCAGAAAGGCCCAGCATTCAGAAAACCTTACGATCTGTTGTTGCTTGCTTTGACATGTAGATTGGGGCAATCTATATATTTGCGCCCCCCTCCCCCTTCCTGTTGGGATTGGTGTATAGATGTTTGGTCACGCTTGTCTGAAAACATGGGTTTTATTTAACCTCCTTGTTTGAACGTATCTGCTAAAAACTCACAGTTTGTATCAAAACAGCCTCAATGTAAAGTGTATTTTACTGGATTTCCTTTTTTTTCTTTACTTGCATGATGTGGCTTTGACATACATGTATCCATAACTTGCTTATATTGTTATGTATGTTATAGATCATGGCATAAAAAGTACAATTTCTAACTGTTATTACAACTGAGAGTCTGAATCTGGCTTTTTACAACTCATCTGAATTCTGCAAGTTACAAAAATTGAAAAGGTTGCAGTTCTTCAGATAGTGTGTAAAACTGTTGCCCTCTTACTTTTCCTTATGAGGGCCTGCATTGGGGTTCCTGACAACACTCTACGCTAAATTTTGAGAGCCGGCTACATATTACGCAGAATTCAAGAAGCCTCCCCATTACGTTTCACGATAAATTCTGGGTAGCTACAACGCATTACGTAGAATTAAAACAGCGAATTACGCTCTATGCAAAATGTGCCAATTATGCACTACGTTGAATTAGTTATAGCAGTCCGTCTACGCTCTATGTAGAATTAAAACAGCCGATTACGCTCTACAGAAAAGGGCATGCGGTATCCTAGAAAGCCCCATGGCCAGCCCAATTTTTACAGTTTCTCATTTTCTTATCAGATTTTATCAGTCTGACACAAACATCAATTATGTATTTCATCAGTCGACTTAGATCTGCTACAAATAGTTGAAATACCGTGTAGCTAAAAACAAGTTAAATTTTTAATGTGACAGTCACAGACTATTTCTCTTGGGACTAGGAAAAATATTGTGTTTCCTGTTTCAGTCCTGAAACAATAAGTGTCGGTAGGTAGGGATTATCTTTTTTTTTTTTTAGACTTCAGTGATGTCTATATAGGGGTCCAACTTATACGATACAGTTTAACAAAGTAAAACTTGCATGAAGACACTTTTATTTTCAATGTCAATGTTAGAAAACCAACTGTACAGCATTTTATCACTCGGGTGTCAGGTCATGGAGCTAGAAATGGTTGATCAGCTCGAAAAATTTATGTCACTTGCAGGGGTCCACCCCCAAAAAGTCTAGGGTCGGCAGGTTTTTCTACTGATTCTAGGGTTGGTCGGGAAACAGGAAACACTACATTTTCTTCCTAGGCCTTGGGAATATATTATTTTTGTGCAGAAATTCTCCTAGCTATTGTCCTACTGTAAAACATATGGGGATAGACAAAATATAAGGGAGGGGTTAGACAAGTATAAACAATTTATCCCTCAGTTATCTAATGCTATTTTTTCTTGGTATAGGATGCCTTTTGAAGGCCTTTATTCTGCCTGTGTTTCATAGTTTTTTATCTCGAAAGAACCAAGAAATTGAATTGACATGGCCTTAGGCAGCCCTCTTGTAACATGGTACATTACTACTAGTACTAGGCAAAACCCATGGTGGGGTATTATCTCTTAATCATTGAAATTTCCTATGCAAAAAGCCCCCCTGGGATCAACCTGAATTGGTGGATTAAAGACAACTCATCATCCTCAAATGTGGAACAGATAAGACTGGTTTATAGTTTTACTTTCAATTTCATATTTTCCTTGTATAAGGTCACTTTGTGGTTCATTTGTTGGTAATTATGATTTAGAGATATGGGGAATACAATATAGATCTTGGTTTTTGTATTGTATTGCTGGTAAATGCTCATGGCTGAGTTTTGCATATTCGTGCTGCTGAAAATAGCAGACTCTATTATACAGGTTTGATCCACTCACATTGGGATGGACACTTGATCAGTTTCTTTACTTTTGTACTCCTACTTGAGGTGTTTTCAAACATAGGACCTCTGGCTCAATGTCCCATCCAAGTATGACAAAGTGGTATACTGAAGTTTCTACATAGTACATATATACTATATATGTCATACTAATGTTTGTATGTTGTGCATTCATATCTTTCTCCACAGGTATGACAAGGTGGTATACACAGAAGTCTGTACCCACTACAAGAGGTAATCCATCTGAGGTAGAAGTCATCACTGGCTAGATGTCCACACCAACATGCCCCTGTCACAGTACTAGTAGTACCTTTTTACTGATCTTTTTTACAGGTATGACAAGGTGATATCACACAGAAGTTTGTACTTTTTACAGCTATTACAAGGTGTTATCACTACCCTTTTCCAGGTATGACAAGGTGGTACCACACAGAAATTTTTAAGAGGTAATCCGAGTTGCTGGCTGGATGTCCACACCAAGATGCCCCTGTCACTAGACCTGCTGGCCGCGCCCGTACTCCGCTGCCTGCACCACATCCGTCTCTCTCGGATCATCGCCATGCTGCTGGTTATCCTCATCGTCATCCCGCTCATCACACACTGGTACCTGGGCAGCGTGGACGGCACGAGTCAGAGGCACGACCTGCCCGGCCTCGACACCCCGGGGATATTCCAGGACATGGACCCCAAGGAGCTGAGACACCACGTGCACGAGCTACATAGAATCAAGGTACGCACACGCTGTGGATTGATTTCATTCAAGTTCATTTGCTACTATAAACAAAAAGAATACATGTACTTACAAGTCTCATCTATATTAGTACAAATGTAATTACATCATCAACATCATCTCTTTGGTGCCCAAAGGCTTAACACCACACCACCCCCACCCCCTGAAATATTTATGAATTGAATTTGTTTTTCATTGGACTGTGACATAGTAAATGACTCATACATGTGGGTGCTTAGAATGAGAAACAACAGTAAACTTAAGGTTGAGCCAGGGTACTGCTGAGAGACTGGGAGCAAAAAACAACAAATTAAGTTATCCAAAGATGCTTAGAATTGTTGTTTGCAATTCTAAGCACCCACATGCATTAAGATATTAGCAAAGTCCTTTTATACAAACTTACCTAACAGCACATGTGAAGTTTCCCTGTCCATGTTGTTCCCAGTCTTCAGTCAGTAATGAGTTACTTGAGCTGGAGAGTAAGCGTCAGCGGCTACAGGGCAGCATCAGTCATTATAACGGGGAGGTGGAGCAGGCTAAGGTGGAGTTGGAGACAGCACGGAACGAGCTCAACGCACTCAAGTTACAACTCCGACAGACACAGAAGGAACTGGTATGAAATCTACTGTGGTGTTATTTGGTTTCTTCCTTCCATCCTTCCTTCCCCTTTCCTTCCTTCCTTCCTTCCTTCCTTCCTTCCTTCCTTTCTTTCTGCCATCCTTCCTATCCTGTCCTTCCTTCCATCCTTCCTTCATTCCTCCCATCCTTTTCTGTCCTTTCCTTCCCCATCCCTTCCTTCCTTCCCTTTTTCGTTCCCCCTTCCTTCCCTCCCTCCTTTTCTTCCCCCTTCCTTCCTTTCTCCCTTGTTCAGCCATGCGTTCATTCATTCAATTTCTTTCTTTCATTAGTTAATTTCATTCATGTACTATAAACACTTGATACTTTATTGGTATAGCTATTAGTTGATCTTGTTGTTGGTACATTTTTGTTCAAAGCTTAGAAATTATAATACATTAATTTTACTCTTCTTGTCTGCTTGCCACAGGAGGAGACAATGGAGGCCCACCGGCCGCGTGTGGCGCAGCCTCACCGTATCCTGCCGTCGGAGAACGATAACGTCCTGATTGCCCCGCCTGCAGCCTCCTCCTCGTGCCGACAGCACACGTGCTTCGACTACTCCCGCTGTTCTCTCACGTCCGGCTTCCCTGTTTATGTTTATCCCACTGGTAAAGTATTCAAATTTCAATTATAAAGTTGTTTTATTTATTCCAACATGTAATCACAAGACGTGGTGACGGCACACTTAAGTTTTTCCAACTTATATTAATGCCGTCACCAACACGCAAGAGAAAACTCATTTTTACCTGAACAAAGTGAGGGAAGTCGTGTAAAGTGCCTTTCCCAAGGCCACAAGATCAGTAGCATGTCAGGAACCCAGGACCTCTTGGTTCTGAGTCGAACACTCTGCTGACTTGTCATGCTTTAGTCATGTGTTTGAAGTATCATTGCAAGTTATGTATATACTAAAACATTATCCATCAGCTAACACAAATATTGCTTTGTTTCCTTTCAGAAGACAGCATCTTCCCTTTGGACTCTTACATACAAGACGTGACCCTCAGCAGTCTTGAACAGAACCTGTATCTATCCAGCAACCCAGCCACTGCCTGTGTGTATGTCGTTATAGTCGGAACCCTCGCGAGTAGACTAGAAGCTAAGGATATGGAACGGAAACTTACCAGTCTCCCGTATTGGAGAGGCGACGGTAGAAACCATATTCTCATTAACCTCGCCAGAGACTACAGCGCCGAAAACGTGTTACGTAACATCGAGACGGGGCGCGCGATGGTTGTACAATCGGAGTTCATGTTCTCGCAGTATCGAGCTGGTTTCGATATTGTCATCCCGCCGGTTTTTACGTGGGAATCGGGACGGGGTGCCTTCGATAGCATTCCCCCGCAAGTCCCCGCGCACAGAAAACACCTCTTTAGTTTTGTCGGAGAAAAAGACTCCCCTGGTGTTGTGGTATCGGAAAAGGGCGAACTTTTCTACAAAGACGACGCGTCTTTGAACAGAAACGGTGCGACAGGTGAGGTGGATGTTCTCGCGGACTTGGTCGCGATCGAGAATAACGATGAAGACAATCTCCTTGTGAAAGTGACTTGTGGGGGGGAGACTGTGCAGGGACTGAGGGGGGAGTGGCAGTTGTGTGGAAAACCACAGGAAAGACAACAGGTTCTCCGTGAATCAACCTTCAGTATAATCATTGTTGCAGGTAAGCTCAAAAGTTAATCTTTGTTATCAACTGTAAGTTTAGCATAATGATTATGTTTACCTTTGCAGAAGGAAAACATAATGTTTTTGCTCAGTTTCTTCCTCTTCTTCAATCACATATTAAGTTCATTGAATTGAACCAGATGGCTGACAGTCAGTCACCATGGTAACTGGTGCTGTATCAGACACCCTGTGGTATTGGATTACATTATGTAGCAAGTGGCATGTAGGGGCTGGTCAGTATATATATGGGAAAGTGCTTAATGGCAGTAGATTTTTGGGTCTAGGCCATGTGAACATTATGTTTTTGGTAGTTGTGTATTAATTTATGTTTTTATCTATGGGTAGTTACAACAGTTACACATGTATGTATGTGGGGCCCGACATCAGCTCAGCTGCCAGGGCTTCCACTTTATTGCACTGTATTGTTTGCAATTTAAATAAATAAAATAAAAAACAGTTTCAATTTTCTATTTAAATCTAAAGTTATTATAATTCTGTTTTTCAGCCTCCAGTGTATTAAGCTCTGTGTTGACAACAGTACGACTCTACGAGTCCCTGAAATACGGAGCCGTTCCAGTTATACTGGGCGAACAAGTACAGTTACCCTTCAGCGAGGTTATAGACTGGCAACAGGCCGCGTTTGTCTTTCCGCTGGCACGCGTGAGCGAACTTCACTTCTTCTTACGCACCGTGAGCGACAGTGATTTGTTACGGATGCGCCTTCAGGGCCGCTTTCTGTGGGAAACCTACCTATCCTCACCGCAGGCCGTTTTGAACACAGTGTTAAGCGTCGTACGAACTAGAATATCCATCCCGCCAAAAACCGTTCCCGAGGAACCGTCGCCGACGGTGTACAATGAAGACACGTACCCGTTACTTCTTGAAGAGGTTGAGCCGATTTCGGAAACCGGGATGGAATTCGGACCAGTGGAACCCCCTTACGACTCGCCTAAGTTTCTTCGTAATTTCACTACCTCAGTTGTAGACAAGCACACTTTGTGGAATACCTTCCCGGGCCCGTTTTACCTGTACCCCTACCTCCCCACCGATCCGGTCTTACCGTCAGAAGCAAAGTTCATGGGATCAGGGTTGGGCTTTCGACCAATCAACAAGGGTTCAGGAGGGGCCGGGAAGGAGTTTCAGGAGTCCCTGGGTGGGAACGTACCGAGAGAACAGTTCACAATCGTGATGTTGACGTACGAGCGAGAGTCGGTGTTGATCAACTCTCTCCAGCGGCTGATCGGTCTTCCGTACCTGAACAAGGTGCTGGTCGTGTGGAACTCACCAAACTTACCGTCCGAGGACCTGAGATGGCCGGATATCGGAGTCCCCATAGTTGTGCGTATCTTAAAATTCAACTCTGCTTTAAATTTTGATATTTCAAAGTGTGTTGCATGAAAATGAAAGGAAGGCTTGACTATTTTAGATTTATAGTGTGTCTCTGCTGCAAAGGAAATTGTCCATCTCAACTGTCAACCAAAATTTATTTAATCTGAAAGTGTACTTAGCACAATGATGTACATGTATATACTAATTTTTGAATTTTCTATCTAAACCTAAGAATCTCTTGGGGCAAACTGTAACAATTAGAAGTAACATTATTGAATATGTTATTTCTTATACTATTCCCCTTCCACATTTTAGGTCATTCGAACGAAAAAGAACAGTTTGAATAACCGCTTCCTACCATACGATGTGATCGAGACAGAAGCCATCTTGTCGATTGACGACGACGCACACCTGCGACACGATGAAATCCTGTTTGGCTTCAGGTAAGATTTGAACATACATGTACATGTATGTAGAGAGGTGGTCACTTGTACAGGTTTGACTGTACCTGTAAATAGCTTCATCAGGTTGGTAAGACACTGAGTAAAGAGATTCTTTTTACACAGCCAAGTCTTTTATCCAGCCGACATTTGGGTGACCGTCTGTCACCTTCCTCAGGGCAATTCTAACAGGTTTACATTGCAATGCAGCACAGGTGTCACTGCTAAAGTGCTATAGATGCATTCCCAAATGTACAATATTTACATATCTACGCATATGCGTGGTTACCGAAGCGTTGGCTGAATAAAAGACTTGGTTGTGCAAAAAGAGTCTCTTTACTCAGGTTTGACTGTACTTTACATACATGTAGTGCATTTTTTTCTGCAATGTCAGCTATTCATCAAACTGAACTGGTTGTGTTTTCTGCCCCCTCCAGGGTATGGCGTGAGGCTCGGGACAGGGTGGTGGGTTTCCCGGGACGGTTCCATGCGTGGGACGGCTCGCACCAGTCCTGGCTCTATAACTCCAACTACTCCTGTGAACTGTCCATGGTCCTCACCGGGGCAGCCTTCTTTCACAAGGTATGAAAAATTTATGCTGATCACATGTACGTCCAGGCATGGAGGTATTGTTATCGGGATGTTTGCGTGCATGCAAATGTGTGTGTGTGTGTGTGTGTGCGTGTATTGTGTGTGTGTGTGCGCGTGTGTGTGCGTGCGTGTGCGTGCATATGTGTGTGTGCATGTGTATTTGTGCATGTGCGTGTGTGTGCACGTACTCTGGCCTTCCTCAGAAGACTGACCCAGTGAGACTTGTCATGCGGCTTCTCTGTCTAAAGTGTGACTTCCACACTGGGTCAAAGGTATCTGCATGGTAAATGTTGCCAGCCCCCATTTGTGTTGGAACACAAGTTTTACCTTTAAACATTGTAACTACCAGCACAAATTTAAATGAACTTTCATGATAACAAACTTTCCTTCTTCCTCTTCCCTCCCTCAGTATTATGCGTACCTGTACTCCTACGTGATGCCCCAGGTGATCAGAGACAAGGTTGATGAGTACCTGAACTGTGAAGACATTGCTATGAACTTCCTGGTATCACACATCACAAGGAAACCTCCCATCAAGGTAGAGTAGCGAGAGCCTTATAATTTTTGTCAGTGAGAAGGGGTTTGTCTTAAGAATTAAGAGAGAGTTCAAAGAATACGAAATTTTTGGAGGTGGCCAAGATAAAAACAATGGGAGAAAATGATGTGGAATTAGCAATTTTCCCAGGCTGAGGTACAAAAATTGTTTGGGGTTTTTCATCACACAATTCAGATATGGTTAATCCTTCAATTGCTGTTGTACACATTGTTGCATGCATGCATTACACTAGTAAATTTGACTGCAATTACTGAAAATGATTTTCACCCTACAACTAGTACAAGAAAGGACACAAAGGATATATTAGCTATATATATTAAGTCATGCAAGACTTTTATCTGTAATTTGTCTCATGTTTTAGTTGTTCATCAGATTTCTTGCCTTTTTCAATGATGTTAGGTACATTATACATCGTACAAATGTATTTGGCAACCTGATAAACATACTACACATTTCCACAGTTGATCCCTTAATTCTAACACGTCTCTTTACTCCAGGTTACGTCGCGTTGGACGTTTCGTTGTCCAGGTTGTCCGCAGGCTCTCTCGCACGACGATTCGCACTTCCAGGAGCGGCACAAGTGTATAAACTTTTTCGTCCAGGTTTACGGTTACATGCCGCTACTCAACACGCAATTCCGCGTCGACTCGGTTCTCTTTAAGACTAGACTACCTCACGACAAACAGAAGTGTTTTAAGTTTATATAAGGCCACATCAATTCATTTCTTTGGATGTCGGAGCATTTTTTAGTAAAAATTTAGCAAGAGAACAACATGAAAACAGAGTTGTACAGTCAAAAATCTGGTCCAATTTCTTCTGTTTGTTTTTTTTTTTAAATTGCAATTCAAACTTGTTTCATACTGACTTCTACCAACACAGATTAACTTAATTCCAAGATATGAAAACAGAGAATTTTGACTGGTACAACTCCAGTCTGTGTCAAGAAATAAGCAATCCACCACTTTTGTGATGTTACAGTATGCAGATGACACGTGTTACACAGTAAGCATATGTTGAGTAAGTCTGTGGCGCCCCCCGTCTTTGTTGAGGGATGGTTGTCATGCCCTGTTGTAGATGGCCTCTTAAACCCTCATTCAAAACAGTCTGTTTTGGTGTCCAAGATTCTTGTACTTGTAATATATTTCCAAAATTACAATTTAAACTTGCTTCATATGACTTTTAATTTACCAACTTGAACACAGAAGAATTTTCAAAATAGGAAAACAAATTGTTGGGAGGGTAACTTAAATCTGACTAAAACTGTGTTACTAAGTTACAGACTCTGTTTTCACGTTGATGTTCTCATTATGTAGCATTTCTTTTATCTGGGAACATATGAATTGAATTGGTGTGGCCTAAGAAAGCACAATAGCCTGGGTTCCAGCCCTCTTCAGCTGTCTGCAGGGGTAGCAACCATTGGGAAGTGGACCAAAAGTAAAAAAGGCTGGTTACCGGGCTAGAACCACTTGGTAATTTTTAAGTGAAATTGCGAACACTGCGCAACCATCTTTAACTTATTCTTCACCTCAAAGTGTTACCAGCCATTTTTATCTGTAGCAGAACTTGTAAATTATTTCCTTTACCTTTACGATTCGACCACTATTGTTGATGCATTTATAATATACTTGTATATATCAATGGAAATATAGGCAGAGCCTATCATTTAAACTGGTCCCTTGTGAAAGTGGTGTTGACGATACAACTGACCACTAATTTAAAAAGTGAAAAAAAGGGACTTGATAATAACATCGCAAGACTTCTCAACCATACCAAACTCCTTGGTTGGGTTAAGGATTGATTGAGTGAGTGAAGGAGCAAAAGAGTGAATGATTGAGTGAGTGAGTGAATGAATGAACTTATGCATTGAACAAGGCTATACTGTATTGCATTTTTTAAACCTTTTCAAAGCAGCGCTTTAAGTTGTTGGTAAGCAACATTGATTTTGTCTAGAAGTACCGTACACACTTTGAGACCATCCATAAGTCTACCTGTACCTAACATATCATTGTGTGCCCTAAATGTCGGCAAGGCTGAAGGTGTGTATAATTATTAAGAATCTTGTATTCTCATGTGTCTTGTAATGGTTTGGTCTCACCATGGAGTTTTTAAGCTCCTTGGTCTCACATGTAAGTTGTTTTCATGCATGAGATCTAATGAAATTCTGTGTCAAAGATGAAACACAAGAAGAAAAAACATTTTTTTTATAAAAAGTGAGGACATCTGCCCAAAAGTATGTAAGGGGGGATAGTGCAGCTAACACATGAAAGGACGTCATACATAAAATTACGCTTTTTGGTATAAAATCGTTAGCAAATCTTAAGATTGAAAGAGAAGTAATACGTCATGGCCACAACTGAAGTAAGTGGCATAGTCTAGAATTTCAGACCCTTTCCCTTACTGTAGTGTACATAATATCTCAAAGAAGGTGCATTGCGTTACACAGAAATAAATCTAGCAACTAGATTAACTCTCTTATAATAGAAGAGTGAGACATTTCAGATAACATTAGGCCACAGCAAGTAATTTTTATGGATGGCATCAGTGCACGCATTAGTTTTCGCCTGATTTTGGAAAAAAAAACTTTGTTGCCTTCTGACAGTGGTCAACATGCCGAAAATGGGCAAAGATGTCTGTTGCCATGCCGGAAGGTGGATGACAGCTAACTATGAAGAGAGGAGACAAGAAAAGGCTCTGAATTAATGTTTTCTTTCTAACTTTGATGCAGTCATATGTGATGCTGGCTGTGTATATGTGATGTTCCCACTGAATCAAAACCATTTGTACAATGATCGAGTCAAAATTTAATGTAGGAACCTTGTTTTTTTCGGCCCGCCTTGTTTTTTTTTGCCCGCTCGCATTAGATTTCTAGTCATCCATAAAATTTACTTGCTGTGGCCTTAGCTGGCTTTCATGGATGCTACATGCTATTTGAACTGTCTGACTCTTCAGGGAATTCATCCAGTTGCTTGATTTATTTTGTATCGTGTAGTGTACATAATGTCCTTGCAAATGTATGTCAGCAATATCCTGAACATTAGCTGACGATCAGACAACAAGTGGTGCTGTATCTGTTCTCTAAGTCTGATAGAAGAAACCAAAAGTCTGTATATAAGCACACAGCCCCACACATGCCATGTATAATGCCTATTCCTTGTAGTAATTGTAGATAATAGCAGAGATACAGGATAAGTAGAGATAACGATATCATCTTGATTTATCTATACTCCAAATATGGTGGCTTCAGATCTGGTTTCCAATCCCAGGATGCAATGGGAGGCAGGTGTGACTCCCATGATGCATGTGTCAGTGTAAGTCGAGGGGAGGTGGGAGGAGGGGGGGGGGGTTAAATGCAAGAAACCACTATAAGATGTAGCAAATTTGCATTGTAGCAATGAAATAATTAGGTATGTGTTACACAGCTCTAATTCAATGGAGTTAGAGTTAATATGAGGAAGGTATTCATCAGTTGTTCATTTATTTTTAGATTCCAATTTTGAAGCCATAATTAAACTATTGGAGTTGGACACTTTTGGGGTGGTATCATGGAGGTGATAACGTAATTTCAACTATCTTGTGTCTCTGACATTAGTGCTATGAGAACAACTTGTAGAATTATGTAATATTTACTTCAGAAAATATGTATAAGTAATAATGTTTCTTAACTTACCTGTCTTTAGTCTTTTAGTCCCATGTACATATCGACATGTATTTATATTCCTCTTGTTAAGAAAAAAAGCAAGAACAAAAAAAAATTAGAATGACCAATACATGAAATCCATTTGTCTTAATTCTTCTTTGCTTTGTTTTACAATTATTCAATGATTAACCAAAAAGTGTTACATAAGTTTTGATACTCTGTGAATATAATTAAATATACAAAAGAATAAGTAAAAGATAGAAGATGTAAGGAGCTACATTTATTTAATGCATGGGCGCAGTATCAACTTATTTTCTTGGTTCGCAGATGTATGTAAGTAGAAATTTAACGCAAAGTTGGCTAAAGACAATATAAAAAGAAACCACCTTGCAACGAGGGACATAGTGCAGTTCAGCTTGAAAACGCATAGTGTCGCCACTGAGTGGTGAGCTACAAAACCCATGACATAGTAGCCTTTACTTGCACCATGTAAACTACAACCGTAAATGTATCACCAGTACTACATCATGAGGTTACAGCACTAGAATACGTGCTGTGGCCCTACAAATGACCCTCATAAAATTTATGTATTCCAGCGTATTTTAAGCGTATTACACAGACGATGCGGTATAACTATAAGTTACCTTGCTATACTGCCTCGTAAAATTTGCCTTCGTTGCCGGGTGCAAATCTATCAATTCGCATTATAACGTACAGAGTTACGATTTTGATAGGTTTGAGGATCTAGCTTATTTGGGATGCGTGCTAATGCACTATGCCACTAACCTAGTACCGTTAAGGCTGCATTAAGTAACGTTATAACGTACAAAGCTTAACAAGTTCTTCTCCATTGCAAATAAGTGCCATTCAGGAACTGGGGGTGTCAAAGTATACGTATAACAGCATACGAATGTATTTAAAAGCTGGAAGCACAGCTGTCGGCCATGTTTGTTTACATTCTGGTTTACATCATGTTGCAATTTTATAGCAAGAGGGATTTAGACTCCTGTCTGACCATATATATGCCATTGAATGTTTGAGTAAGAATTAACAGAGCAGACCATACGTGAAGGTAAACATTATGCATTTGCCTTGCAAAGGTTACCTTCCTAGTGTTGTAGTTATTTTACAAAAGAAGATAAATCGGCATAGAGAGACGTCGTTAACTGATTAGGCAATGTCAAATGTCAGTCATCCCGTAACGGCTGCAATTTCTGCACGACCAAAGGTTAAAGTGATAAAGTACCGGAACTAATCTGGCACGAGCTCTGCAGCAACTTCAGGAAGGTCGTTTTGATGTCAAGGCCTGAAGATGTATATCTTTAGGCTGAACTATATTTGCATTGTGGATGGTGCAATGTATATAGTATACTCCATATGAAGTGCAGGGGTGTAGAAAAAATACAGCTTAAAGAGACAAGGTTCCTTAATAGTAATTCGACCGACAGATGATGTAAAAAGAATTTTGAAAATGGAAAACGGTCATTATTTATGTTTGTTTACCTTCGCAGAAGGAAAACATATTGTTTTTGCTCTGTTTGTTCTTCCTCTTCTTCTCCAATCAAATTAGGTCAATGACCTGAACCAGACGTCTGTCACCATGGTAACTAGTGTTGGGTTACATCATGTTGCAATTTTATAGCAGGAGGTATTTAGACTACTGACACTATATAAAAATGCGTTTGACTTAGAATAATAGAGCAGACCATATGTGAAGTTATGCATGTTCTGCGCGTTGATAGTTATGTTATGCATGCCAGTTATTCCAACATAGATTATTTTTTCTTCCTCTTGAGGGTCAAAATCATTGCATGTATAGATGTCATCCATACAAATGATCTTACGTGGCCTGATCTGCACATAATCTACATCGTATACCCCAGCTAAGTATCAGAAATCACATGTGAACTATAGTTACAAGAACTCTGATTCCTGTATATACTTTACGATCTTGCTTTCTTGCCAAGCTGGATGGTTTATAGCTCCATTGATTTGCCTGTCCTTGAGTCTTTAGTAGCTGGATTAGAAGGCTTTTCGCTGTAAGGCGGTTGGGTGAAATTTACGCGCATCGCCAAGCGTTGGGTTAATTAGATTTGTGAACTGCTCAATGTACTGTACCGGCACGGTACTGATTGAAG